TTACGGAAATCAAAGAAATGAAAGGATGGTTCAATTGTATCATAGGTTATATAGAAGTACCCAAAAGAGTTTGAAATATGTTAACAGAAGAAATAATTTAAGATATATTGGCAAATATAGAGTGATGATTTGGCAAAAGAGGTAGGTCCAATTTCTTTTGCATTTGTTTCACTCACAGGGTCAAAATGAAAGCTGTCAAATTCTACTAGAATTCAAATATTAAATAGACTATGCCATATACTTACAATATTTGTCAACAATTTTACATACTTCCATGAAATTGAAATGTAATCCAAAGCTACATGTTGCTGTTGAATACATTTTGATACAAAATTGCAAAGTTTACATGTTTTTATCAAAATTTTGCATCGAACGACGACTGTAACCAAAATGAGTTTTATCTGAAAGACAATTTTTAATTTACTACCAACATAATTTTGATGTTTGTTAGATATGTTGTTCCAATAAATTTTGTTTTGTAAATACTAACACTTGCCCAACAACTCTAAATATTGCGGTTTTGACTTTTCTCCAGGAGCTTATATTTGTTTATTTTTTTAGAAATAAGCCATACTATTCTTAGAACGGAAACGTACAAACATACAGCTGTATTGATGGGAATTTCCGTTAATGCACTGATTTTATTTTGAATAGGACCAAAGTGTGAAATTAAATTCAGAGGAATTGGCCGTACCTGTTTTTAAACGCATTAAAAAGAAAAAACAAACCAGTAGACTTGCACAATATTAAGAAAAGTCTATAAATATGAGAAGCAAACATCCTAAAAATGTTATTTCTGTTTTATATAAGGTGTAAGTACACTAATTCGGGCACATACCAGAAAGTAGTACATATTTAACACAAAATAGTTCTTATGCATGGGTGTAACTTAATCTTGGTATCAAAAGAAAGCTGAATGACTGGTGATCATTGTAGAACACTTTTTGACTGATAATTTTGAATAATAAAAACATTGCATGAAATTAAAAAAAGAGGGTACATTTTGCCTGTTTGTCAGATCTGAAGTACCTGAATTAGTACATCCGAAGTTCCGAGAACATGTTCTCACTTTTATGCCATTAGCGGGATGTTGATTTTTTTTCAGTACAAGACATCATAAGGTGTTGCTTTACATGCATTAATTGTCACTTTATTTGAACTATTAACTATATTATTAATGCAATGAAATTAGTGTCGTTTAATTTTCCAGTATCTATTTCGATGTCTTTTTCTTAAAAAGTAAAATTATGACAAGAAATTACAATTTAAAAAATTTCTTTTAAGTTTTAATGTTTTGGTTAATATAAATGCATATTTGTGCCAAAGTAATTTGAATTTAGATATTGAATACACTCACGCATCATCACAATATTCTGGTTTCTTCATTTTGTATCCTTGTTTAAGTCTAGTAGCAACTTCCCTGCTTTGTATGTTTGGGTAAGGTGTATCACCTGCAATTTAAAAAGATTTTTCTCTCATTTCATGGGTTTTACGACGAAACGTTCAATGCCTATTGTCTCTCTGTTATCAGTAGCAGTTAGTGTTTAGTCAACAACTATAAAGACATTAGCAAGCTTATCAGTGGTGGGCATATTCCAACACTACTTTTAAAATGTTGTGTTATCTATTATCTTTTATTTTTTAATTACAAACTAGTTGTCAAAAATAGATCTTATCTAATTTTTACTTTACTAAAATTCAGGATTAAAACTGTTTTGCAACTGACAGAAAAACAGGAAGTGGAATAGAAAGAAAACCATATGCAATAGAAGATAAGAGATTTATGGGTAGGTTTGGATAATTCAGCATGTATGTCCACTTTCAACATTCAGCTACTACTAGTATTAAACATACATCATTGCAGATGCACTCCTAGCTAACGGACTTAAAAATGTTTTATTATTCATGTTTACATAGGTTCTAAACTATTTCAATTTATTCTCAACCATAAACATTTTAACGTGAGTGATAAATGTTTGTTTCAGTTGATATATGTATTCAGTTTTCTCATAGGATAAAAATTGACATTTCAGGTATACCGACGACCCCCTAAAAACTAACACATCTTTAGCGGGAAGAGGTGACATGGTGCAAAGAGGCGAACTTTGAGTATTTGCAATCATTTAATCTCGCAACTGGGAATTGTAATACTAATGTACAGAAAAAAAATAAGATACCGCTTACCCAACGAAAATATTTCCCACATAACAATACCGAAGGAGAAAACGTCACTCAATTCATTTGCATCCTTTGTTGTTTTCATACATTCTGGTGCCATCCATTTCAGTGGTATACGTTCCTAGAAAAAAAAACCAAGATGAATTAAAAACCATGTTTTGATAGGGAAATATTCACATTTGGTTCAAATGTCGATTCTGGTGTCAGATAAAAGCTTAAATATAGCTGATATATTTTTAAGTGATACCATCCTTCAAATAGTCGTTCAATCAGTATAATGAAATGTAATAACATTCACACATAATTAGCAAAAACATATTTCAGTAATCGGGGAAACAAAAATATACTCAATTATAAAAATAAAAGTTTATTGAAAACACCGAACATTTCTATACATTTTCATTGTCTCAAAATACTTGTGCGTGTATCTAAAGAAAACTAATCTAAAATATAAATAAGATATAAATACAAATACAAAAACCGTCGAATTGAATGCAGAAATTAGAAGAATAATGTCAAATATGAAAGATGTCATTTAAACTTACTTCCCCTTCTTGTTCCGCTTCGGGTTCTGGTCCAAATCCAGTTATCTTTGGTTCAAACAAATGATCCAAAAGAACATTTCTGGCTGCTAATCTTCTGTGAACAACCTATCACAGAAAATAAACTCCTCATTTAAGAAAACAATTCAAATGATTGCATTTGAACTTTAAAAAGGCCAAACAGTTCAAAAAGGGTCATATGTAAAGATATATTAGCAATTTCATTCTAGAACATATGCCGTTAACCTCGTGTATTCAATTTTTGTTAATATAGAAATAATATAAGATATTTAATAAGGCTCTCCCTTTATGTTACGTGATACAAATGACTTTTATATGTAAATTGTGAAAAAAACTTGACCTTTCCCTTTTCTGTTTTGTACCTTTTTAGATGATAAATAATCCATTCCAAGACAGATTCCAAAGACCATTCTAAACAGTCTTTCTTCCAAATCAACAGTTACGTTGGACTTCTTTGAGGTAAGGAATTCCTTCAGTACCCCACTTTCACAATATTCCAGTACCATAAATGCTCCTCCTGCAAACATTTATGTTTGTTAAATAATGATGAAGAATGGGTATATGCTTATATAATGATGAAGAATGGGTATATGCTTAAATAATGATGAAGAATGGGTATATGCTTATAAGATGGAATGGTATGGAAATCATGCAAATACAAACCAGTGTCATAATCTGGTAATATATTGTAAAATGTCAGCCAAGATAAAAACTTAAAATAAGGTAAATGATCGTATTCACAGACTGCTTTATCAAGTCCATTGACAGCTCAATTTGATAGCTAATTACTAAAAAGGATTTAAAATTAAATAAGGACGGCAAATAGTTGACCATTGACACACTGACGGACAGCAATGAGCATAACTTTACATTAAGAATATGGGACAAGTTAGCTAAAGGCTTTAAAAGTCTTCCATAAAGACTTACATCTACTGTGTGGTCGAGATTTAGTACCAATATTCTGACATAAACCAAACTCTTTTATAATGATTTGGTTTATTTCACTGCAGTGACTTCTTGAATTTGTATACTTACTAACATCGTCATCTACATATCCTATAAAATCCACAACGTTTTTGTGATGTCCGACTTTTTCTATATAAAAGTTGATTTTAGCCTTCATCTTCATAACATTCTCTTCTTTTTGGTCATCTGTGTAACATGATAAAGTTAAAGTACCACTAATAATAGTGTTTTGATTAAAACTATCAAGGTATGATATAAATCAATGTTCCGGTAGTGACATTAGTTTAATGATTCACTTTGACTCACCTTTCAGTAATGAAATTACGTAATTTCACTAATAACTTATCAATCAGGGATACTATGCTTAAACTTGCAGTGAGTTGAGAGTATTATTTTTTTTTGCTCCCTGTTGAAAGCCTCACTGTGACATGAGATGAAGAACAGCAATAAAAACGCTGTTCCTTTGCTTTTAGTGTGTTTTTGGCTGTGCATGTACTGATCTTGTGTCATGAACCCCATATCATTTGTTTCTCTATTATAAGTTAATACGCTACACGCGCCATACATCTACACAAGATACTCGAAATAAAATATATGGACAACACAATCAACTAAGAAGTAGAAGAGCATAGTTACTGTAAATCGTAACCAAAATAAATAGGTTTTACTGTTTTATTTAGACTGCATCAATCACGATGGTCACAGAGATATTTGGTTCCAAAAACATTTTTGTCTGAACTACTATATCAAAAATTGCTGCAGAAATGCATATTGTAGTCACTAAAAATCGCTCTCCTAAATAACCTTCATCACAACTGGTACTTTTATATTTAGCTTTGGTTGCCTTCTACAGTTTACTTTCTTCTGAGCTTGTGGTGTAGACAGGTTAAAAGTATTAAGTAATATAATTTTAAAAGAAACTTAATCATATATTTTTTTTTGTAGATAGTTCATTTTTATCATGTGTGATATACTCCTGATATCTTTAAAGAATTTTGTCATATTGTCTTGCGCAATCACAGTTTCATATAGGAGTTATTTTGTAATTTGTTTCCGTCACTCTTAGGGTAAATAAAAAAAAAACAATGTATGTTTGATGAGTCTGAGGCGCTTTCCGGATTAACCTTCACGAGGAACGCTAAACCTCAGAATTTTGAATGCCAATGATATATGATTAATGAATGGAAAGGTCCCTTCGTACAGTGCTATAATTTTCTTTTAATTTCTGTGGTATAACATAGAAATAACATTTGTTGAATTTAATCTTTCTGGCATACATTCCTATAAAAATACCTTTTAAAACTTTAGCAACAACGGTTTGGGCGTCACGATGGTTGCCATAGTATTTGGCTAAATAAATTGTTGCAAATCTTCCTTGTGCTAACTCGGATTCCATGGATATGTCTTTACGTGAAATCTTTAGATTCGTAGCGCCAGAAGATTCCAGTTGTCCATAGAAATATATGTCATCATCAAACTTAGAGCTATACGCCCGAATCTGCAATACAAAGATGGTTTTGATTGAACGAAATTCAGATAATTCTTATGATTTTAGTAATCCTAGCTGTGTTTATGGCAGAATTTGTTGTAAAGAGGTAGGGCAAAATTCCCATATATTAAATTTTATTTCACTTGCAGGGTCGATATCTTTTTTTTTTTTTAACAACATAATAATTTTATTCATCAAATATTGCTTGTTACATAAATCATCAAGATTCCAAGCTTCTCTTGACGTACCCTGTTATGATCCACTGACTACCCAGGGAATAGTCAGCTGATTAGATTAATTGACATACATTTTGTTTACAAAACATTATAATAACAATACTAGAAAAATTATTCATTGATTATGTTCCTTTTAATTGTTAGTAACATTGGACTTATTGTCTTATGTCCATTAATATTGGTGTCTACTCTCTTAGTGTATTCACTGACAAAAATTCTGTAGACGTCTATGTTTTTTGTTTTCTGCTCAGATACATAGTATGACTTATATATTGAAAAACTAAGTATTGTAATTAAAAAATTTATTGAGTAATACTTGTTGTCTGTGATTTTGTTTCCAAATATCAGGTGTTGTAGTTTTATTAAAAAATCTATATTACTCCTTTTTAAGAGGTCGTATATTTGCTGCCAAAATCTTTTCAAGTAAGAACAATTGAAAAAATAGTGATCATAATATTCTTCTATGTTACAAAAATTACACATATTATTATTAGTTTTTTTCCATTGTAATAAAAGCTTTTTTGTTGGTACAATAAACTGTAGTAATTTCCATCTGAATATTTTTAATTTATTTTCAGTTAAATATTTATAAATAAAGTTATATAGTGAATTCATATTTGGAACTTCTTGCATTGGTAGAATTTTAAGCCACCTGTTTATCCCTACTGACGGTTCCTTTTTATTATTCACTAGAGAATCATATAACATTTTATTTGAAAAACATGTAGTCTCAAAATAACGATCTTTCCATGTGATCTTATTTCTCTTGACATTTACTGTACTTTGAACAGAATTTTCTTGTTTAACTATGTGAATCCAATTTTGTGGAATAGCATGTTTCAATATATGAAATTCTGCACTCCAGTTTACCTTACACTTTAATTTGTTTAAAATATATTTTTCTGATAATGACATAGTGTCATCTAAAATGTCATTTAAGTATATTATACCACTCTTAATCCAGTTTTCAAAGAAAATTGGTTTATTATGAAATGTAATAAATTTATTCCCCCATATTGTCTGCTTTCTTATATCAAAATATGTATCTGGTTGTTTTGTTTGCCCACCCCATGTCAAAATCCTGGACTTTATTACTTCTATATAAAATTCAGGAACACATTTAAAATATTCTAAATGTTTTATATCATCTAAATTCATATTAAATATAAATAAAATATTATTAGACACCTTTAGATATTTAAAAGGTATTAGCTTCCAGTTGGCAAATTTACCATTAACAAGTCTATATACCCATGATGCCTTTAGCGACATAAAATAACTTTTAAAATCGACCATTTGTAAGCCCCCTTTTTCATATGGACGTATTATCAGGTTTCTTTTTACTTTGTCTGGCTTCCCATCCCAAATATAATTAAAGCTTCGTGTTTCTAGTTCTTTAAGATAATTTTCGGGAGTTAAGCAAACACTTCCCAAGAATGTAAATAAAGGCAAGATTAGTGGTTTAATAATTAGTATTTTCCCTAAAATTCAAAGATTCCTTTTTTCCCATGTCTTGAACATTTTTATCATTTTTTTCTTTTTTACAATCCCAATTTAATTTTTTGCATTCCTCTTTATCATGTCCAAAAAACACCCATAAAGCTTTAATAGGTTTATCTCCCCAATTAATCCCCGCAATTTTATCTTTGCATGATTTCAATTTCCCGATCCATAATCCTTCTGTTTTATTTCTATTTACCAATAAACCTGAAAACGAGCCAAATATTTCTATTATATTCATTGCAGATATTACATCGTTTTTATCTTTACAAAATAATGTTGTGTCATCTGCTAATTGTGAAATCGTAATGCTGTGACTTTTCCCATCTAACTTAATAGTGATTCCTTTTACTTCGTTGCTATTTTTCAACTGTAGGGCCATAATTTCAACAGCCAAAACAAACAATAATGCTGATAAAGGACAGCCTTGTCGGATTTCCCGTGAATTTTTGAAATTTTCTGATACCCACCCATTGTTCATGACACATGTTTGAACGTCTGTATACATAGTTTTAACCCACTTAATAAATGATTCATTAAATCCAAAATGTTTCAAAGTTCCAAGCATAAAATCCCATTCAAACGAATCAAATGCTTTCGTAAAATTCACAAAAACAATTGCTCACTCAATTTTGTATCTTTCTGAGTAGTCTATAACATCTTGGATTTGTCTCAGATTAAACCCAATAAATCTATTTTTAACATAACCGGTTTGATTCTCATTTATAATTTTTGGAAGTACCTTTTGTAAGCGTTGAGCAAGAACATATGACAAAATTTTAAAATCTATATTAAGAAGAGATATTGGACGATAGTTTTCCAAAAGTAAAGGATCCCCCTTTTTGAATATCAAAGTTAATATACTAGTACGTTGTGAATATGAAAGACTGTTTCTATCGTATCCTGTATTTAAGACATTTACCAGTAGTGATTTAAGTTTATTCCAAAAAAAATCTATAAAATTCTACCGTAAGTCCCTCAAGACCTGGAGATTTATTTAATTTCATTTTAAAGATACCATGTGTGCATTCCTCCACTGTAATTTTCACATCGCATATTAGTTTATCATTTTCATCAACTTTATTTTCTAATTTTGTATCGCTGATATATTTTTCTGATAAATCTTTGTTTGAATATTTTTATTATACAAGTTTTCATAATAATCTTTTATTTTGTTTAAAAGTTTCTCTTGATCCGAAATTATTTCTCCCTTATCTCCCATTAGCTTACTTATCGATTTTTTTCTAACCCAAGGAAATAAGAATTATTTTTTTCACCAAACTCTACCCATTTTTCTCTAGATCTCACTTGAGCTCCTTTCGCTTTTCTTCATATATCTTATTTAGCTCTTCTTCAATATCATTTATTTCTTTTTCTATTTCATTGTCATCTATAGTCCATTAATTTAATTTTTTCTTCCAAGTCTTTTTCCAAAGTATATCTTCGCCCCTTGGTTAACTTTGCTTTATTTTTACAATAATTTGTGGTTACTTCCCTTACCGCAATTTTAAAACCATCCCATAATAATCTACAATCTAGTGTTTCCTTTTCGAAAATATATTTATCTATCAAATTATTAATCAGTTCTTGGTAATCTTTATCTTGCAAAACTGAATTATTTATTTTCCAATACCCATTGCCCCTTTCTGATACCCCTGGCTTAAATTTTAGAAATACACTTTGGTGGTCAGCAGACCGAATAACAGCCGGTTGGATTTTACAAAATTCTACAAGGGGTAAAAAATCTGACCCCATAAAAATCAATCCTACTAGCTTGTGACCTATCTCTTCTTCTCCATGTGAATTGCTGTTTACTTTCATTTAAGTTTCTCCAAACATCTGACAGTTTATTAGATTTAATCAAGTTTTTTAAACCGTTTACGGGTTGAGTAAATTTACATGGACGTATAGATTTTCTATCAATTGGTTTAATTGTCTCATTAAAATCTCCCCCAAGTATTGGTATTCCTAGACCGTGTTCCTTCAAATTTTCACTGACCTTTTAGAAAAAAGAATTTCTAGATGATTTACAGTTAGGTGCATATACACTAATAAATGTAAAAATTGAGTTATTTATCTGCACGTTCATAAGTACTAATCTTCCGTCACTATCAATAAATTTATTTATCAGGTCGTAGCTTAGTGATTTTTTAATTAAAATAGCTACACCCCTACTAGCCGTAGTACCATGACTACAATAAGTATCATATTCCGTTTTACTATTCATCGGTATGTCGATATCTTAACGTTTTCAAATTCTACAAGAATTTCAATACTTAGACTTGCAAATAGGACACCTACGAACCCCTCAATGAGTTGATGTAAGGTTTTTTTTTTTTTTTTTTATTCAACAACAAATTGCACTTCTGCTGTTAACAATGTTCTTCACTAGTCCAGTGTTCCAGTGAAGAGTCCCTGTTTGTTAATACCAGAAATCCAGGGTTGTTTTCTGGTAAGCATCATTATATTAAACTAAAAACCAATTGTTCAGAGAACAATTGAAGGTCTTTCAGCAGCAATTTTTAAACTTAATGAAAAGATGCTAGTTCGTGTTTACTCAAAGTTAAAATTGGCATCTTATCATCAATTTCTTCATACTGATGCGATAAATAAGTGGTTTCTATATACTTATGTGTGAAATAAGGGAGATAATTAGCTACTTCCGGTGAAGTAAATGTCACTTCCGGTCTATGTAATAGTTTCTTTCACACTGATTCCAAAAATATATAGTTTCTATATACTTTTGCTTTTAAACCAGGCATAATTGGCCAATTCCGGTTTATCGAAAGTCATTTCTAGTCTTCAGTGATAAGTTAATGTATTAAAATTACAAAATATATGGATTCCGAGTACTTTTCCATGAAGAAAGTGCTAAAATGGTTACTTCCGGTTTTCTCAAGGTCTCTTCCGGTTGTCATTTTTCAAGGTCATATGTCATCCAACCTTTTGTAAAAGGTCATATGGCTTTATAATGAACCAAGTTGAGGTAATAATCAATTAACCTTATAATTGGACATTTCAGGGGCACTTACTCCTATAAGATGCCATTAGATTGTTTCAGACCAAATGTAACATATCTTCATTACAATAAAGCAAACATTTTGCACTTGTTGTTTCATACATATCTTTAAAAGTGTTTGAGAAAATGCGAAAACAAGGAAAAGTCAAAATTGAGAACTTGACCTTGACCTTTTACCTTGAACTCATTTTCTAAGTTAGGACCTAGGGACCTCAAAAAAAAAGATTCAAGGGTTATACTGTTAACGGTTTATGAGTTAAAAAAAACATACCGACAAATTTATTTGGTAAAGGTAGATCACTCCTTTAAAATTTCATCGAATCGCTTCGATCCAAATTAGCCAAAAATTTATGAGGATGTAACAAACCATTTAGAAAAAGAATTTTGTTGATATCTTTTTTTGTTACGAAGGAGATGCACACACTTGATAAACAGTGAATAGGGAGATAACTCTTACAAAGAAAATTGTTCGGCTTAGAATGGGTGAATAAAAAAGCGCATAAACTGTATGATACTATATAAGAAATATCTTAGCGACATATTGCGAAACAAAAATTTTCCGCGATAACAAAATTTGGCGGAAGAAAAAAATAATAATCAGAACAAATACAATAGGTCTTTCCACAGAAAAGTGGAAAGACCTAATTAACATTAGTTTTAATTACAGCTAAATTATAACATTATTAGCAATGAAATAAACCAGTATATATCATTGAGACTTATTTATTTAACAATTTACTACATATATCACCTAGCAATTATTTTGATATTTTATATATTAAAGGCTGTTTTAATGTGCAGAGAGCATGGTACTTTATCTTCACGAGGCATCGGATTTAACGTCCACATTCTAGTCGCACGTGTCTGCGTATCTATACACCCGGTACAGCCAAACGGACGGCCCACTTTGGCATGTGTTTATCATCCAAATAAGACAACGGTGATTATAGTTCTATATTCCAGTCACTATGGGTCTAAATTGAATATATAAATATTTTAAATTAAACAGAAACAATCAGCGATCTGACATTAAAAACACATTTTCCTAAAAGCACTTAGAACTGTAAATATTTAAACAATTTTTTTTTCTTCAAAATGCAACATCACATGACCTTTTAAAATTTCTTCTAGTGTTGACCGCTATGAATGCAATGTACACAGAGAATAGTTGGGCGTTAGCAAACATGTTTAACCCCGACACATCCTGTATGTGCTTGTCTCAATTAAGGAGCCTGTGATTCAGTGGTTGTCGTTTGTTGCTGTATATCATCATATTTTTTTTTCAATTCTTGTTTTTAACACTTTTTACATTTGTCATATTTGGGCTTTTTCTAGCTTGCTATGCGGTATGGGTTTCGCCCATTGTTGAAGGCCGTACTATGGCCTATAGCTGCTTATTCTACGTCATTTGGTATCTGGTGTATACTTGTCTCAATGGAAAATATACCACATATATGCAGTATCTTTATATAAATCCTGGATTCATGAGAGTTGTTACTTCTTAAACTGCAGATTTGGACTAGATTCTTAATATTAACATACATTTGATCATATTTAAAAAAACAAACAAGGATAACTATAACTTTTGGACATCAGAACAATTTTGGACCAGGCACCAAACCCTTTCTGACTGTACCGAGCAAACAAAAAAAATGAAAATATAAAAATAAATTTCTTCTCGTTAGCCCTATTTTTACAGGCATACATTAGGTTCAAAGTAATTGAGATGGCAATACATTTTTTTATCAACACCTATTGTAAGATGCAAATATATCTATCAACATTTCTAGAAGTAAATATCACAGCATGTTTCCTTTGGTCACGTTTACCCAACACACATTGTTTTATATACGCATGTTCAGAAAGCAAAACCTATTTTAGAACTATTCCTCTCTCTTTATTGATCTATATACTTCATGGGATATCTTTAACACCGTTCGGTGACCTTGTTGTCTTTATTAAAAAAAAAAACTACTATACACTATATATAATTTCATAGTAAGATATTTTTCATTCATAATAACCGAAAAACAGTTATTTGTATTTTTATGTTGAAGCAATACTTACATTATATCTAGCATTGGTATGTGAGCGAACACGGATTGTATTACGAATAGTTCTTATTCCTTGTGTCATTCTTGCTTTAGCGGGCTGTAAACGTCCAGTACGTCCAAGAAATAACAGAACCACCACAACAGCAATCAAAAGCAATATAAACCCTGAAAAATTTGGACTTTAAATGATTTGCTATTACAACAAACAAATATACCCTATAGTAATCTATTAAAGAAAACAAAAGTGAAACATGAAAAGATCAGCAAATGATTAAAACAATTATGGAACACAATACCGCTAGAGGTAATACTTTTGTTAATGAAAAATATATATTAAATAGGTTTCACATATGTAAAACGAATGTGGAAATACTCACCGGCAGATAATCCTGCAACACCGCCTGGTGGGAATCCTACAGCTGAAAAGGTAAGAAATGATACATGTATATTGTTTCACTGTAACAAAACGATGTCATAGTATAACATTTTTTGGGGGAAAACAAGGTTATAAATCTTGACATCATTACTATATTAATAGTCGTCTGATCTGTAATTTTACCGATTGTGTCCCATTCCCGTCGACCTCCCCTTTTCTCGCTATTTTTGGAGTTCATGTGATAACCTTAGTTTTTGTTTGTTACCTTTGTTTGTCTATTCCTAGTTGATTTACGAGATTTGAACTTCGGTAAACTACAGTCGTCTTCATTTATACTGGAACAGCGATCGTTTAAGATTTCAAATGTTTAAAAAATCACGTATCTAGAATGTAAAACTATAACTTTTCTTACCACTTATTTTTCAGAATAGGAAACTGGTCAATTCGATGTTTCGATTACAATATGTGTACATACATTTAGCTTCCTAGATATTTTCACAATAATTCAGATCATGTCGCAGCTTGTTTTTATAACTGCAACATATGTGAGCTCCAGTAAAAAAAAATGGTAAATTGAATTGATGAACATTTTAATAGTTTTACAGACTGTCAGAAAATGGTATTTTTATTTTCGAGTCAAGATATTATTAGATTCTGTGCCAAAAGCTGTAATTTTATTCTGAAAAGACGCCTAGAAGCTTTATATACTTTAAATAATAAATAAATAATTATGCTGTATAATTTTACCATTCCTGATTCATATTCATTAATGTATATAGATGTTGTGTAAGTTGTTATCGTTTCTCATAAATCTGTACAGATTGACTTATGTATACAAAATGTATCTTTTATAATTGTATTGTGTAATTGTATGCATAAGGCGAGACGTAAATAATATATTGAATTGATAGAATTGAATATTAATAGGTTTTTGGTAATATTTTGGTCTAATTTGACTTACATGCCTCAGCTGTTTGGAATTTGAGTATTGCAGGAGATCCGCTCATAACAAATTTTGTGTCATTGCCATATTTAGTAAACAATTTAAACCAATAATGGGTTGTAGGTGACAGTCCTGTTAGGTCAAACGTTGTCGCATCTTTATGTACTTTGAAATCCCTTGTGGAATTATCAGGTCGGAATAACCGGATGAGAATACCAGCACGTTCATAACAGGTAGGTGCCTGAATCCAGCTTATACTCAAACTTGTGTCTGATGTTTTCAATATAGTAATGTTTGATGGACTATAATCTGGAAAAAGAAACATAATATATAATTTGACGAACATATGTCATGTGAACTATAACAATGAATTAAATCGCTATATCTAATTTGTGTAGGCGACATGATTGATAACATTTGATTCGTTCAAAATATACCATAAGTTTTGATGGCGAATGTTTTTTTAGGAACTTACGCCTATCTTATGTGTAGTTTTTTTTAAATCAATTGTTGTGTCGTCCTTTGGAGTATCATTGGTTTCCTTACCGAAATGTTTGTTTAAAAAATCTTTTCTTTCTCAAAGGTTTGTATATTTTTGATGAGATCGTTTTTGTTTGAAAGGGGTTTTACTTATCAATAGATTTGTTTTAAAAGTTTTAAGGACACTTTAGTTATCAGTATTGTAGTTGTGCTGAATTGATTTTCGAATGTACATGTTGATATACCGGTAACAATTTGAAAACATGAACCGATTTGAATAGGTGATGTCTAAGGTAAAGAAAACAGAAATTCAACAATTTCTTAATTGAATGTTGTGTAATAACCTGCTCTTTCACAGTAGCGTATGTGACAAGAATAACACCAGCAAACAGGAACTGCTGACGCGTCCGAATCACAACAATTCTCCTGTGATTTCGTGCTGCTCAATCTCAATTTTTCTGTGTAGTATTTTATTGACGTGTTTGTTTCTCTGCGTATTTCTTCTGTTTATGCTTTTATATAAAAATAAGAAGATGTGATCTGATGGCAACTGAGACAACTCTCAACTAGAGACCAAAGGACATAGAGATTAACAACTATTGGTAACTGTACGGCTTTCAACAATGAGCAAAACCCATAACACATAGTCAGGTATAAAAGGCCCTGAGATGACACATGTATTACAATTCAAAAGAGAAAACTAACGACCTGATTTAAGTACAAAACAATGAACGAAAAATAAATATAATATACAGAATGTAGCAGGGTTAAACTAGTTTGCTGGTGCCAAAATATCCCCCTAACCTAGGACAGTGGTTTAACAGTTCAATATAAGAACAACATATAAAAATAAGTTGAAAAGGGACTTAGCTCATCAGTTACAAAGCAGAAAAACAACTTACAAAACCACACCGGCCGTGGCAGTGTAGTTATACATCCCCACAACAAAAAAGACACTAAGTACAGATCTGAGAGTACTAGTTTTATCTGTTTTTTTCATTTTGTTTTTAAAGGACCCCTTAGAAGCGTCTCCAGCTTAAAACTTAACCTTTCCATTGGTTAGATCAAGTGATCCACAAAATCTTTTGAATTCTGATCAACAAGAAACAATTAATCAGAAGTATACTAATAGTAGATTTAAATCATAAACATATATTACAATATCCAACAAATACGAATACTGTAAGAACATTTCTGTTAAATGAATGTATTTATATGGTACAATCAAAGAATATTCGAGCTCATTTTCAAGTATGTTTAACGAATATCTCTTTTAAAAGATATATACTGAACAAGATTTCTTTTAAAGAATATAAACGTGCAAATTATGAATATCCGTTTGAAAACAAAGAAAAACTCCAAAAGAAAAAATTACAAATAAAAAACAAAGCAGCGATCAATGGACAAAAAGAATGAATTATGAAGACGTGACGGTACTACTTAAAAGACTCCGTATGGAGTCGTATTGCTAAAGTCAGCTGTAATTCTGCAATAACTTTGTTCATCTCGATTTGTAAGTCAGCATTAAACACTAATGTACCACAAAAATTAGCTTTAGATCGCAGGCTTCACAAAAATACTGGAAGCAATTGGTCAACCGGAACGAAAGGTACACTCTATCTTCGAGTAATAGTTAAACACTAAAGTTCAAAAATTCGCTTCATATCTGGTGGCACTAGAACGAAAAAGTCCGGACAACTTTAATTTTCTTGCAATTTTCTAAATTCCAGTGCTGTAATTTTGTCAAAAGTTGGACATCGGAAACAAAACGCAAACTCGATCTGTAAGTCATCTTATACACTTATGTACCATAAATCAGATTAATATCTACAGACATAACACAAAAAGCCAAGAATTTTGACTGATGTCAGGACGGAATGATCGAAAGACGAACATGTGTGCCACTATATTTGTCGGCCATTTATTGATTAGGGCATGAAAAGGCTGAAAACAGTTTATGAACATTGAATTTAAAATATAAAAACTACATTATTTCTTAAAAAGAATTTCTGTTGACATTAATGCTAGCTAACGATATGAATGTTTAGTTCATATCAGTTTCAATATACAAAAAGCGAACCGCTGTTTTGAACACTAGTAGCTCAAATGTTTCATTGATGTGTTTATCAACATTCAATAATTTTAGAGGTCCTTAGATGAGAGTTCAATCTTTTATGACGGTAAACAAAAACATGCAAAAGTCAATGTTAACTTTCGGAATCATGTAATATGTTTGGATTACCATGTATATGTCTATGTGTTTATGTTAAAATCCTATGACATATTTTCTTGATTTACAAGTAATTTGTTATAACCATTATCCAAAGAAGTATAATTTTTCTAATTTCGATTCACCGGCTTAACAGATGAACTTACCCTTACTATTATTAAACAAGTGACTCTGAAGAGCCTATGTCGTTCGTCAGGATTTATATGCATCTACGTCAATGGCCACTCGCCAAAATTGTAGACTAGAATATAATTTATTACTTAAATTTTCAGTTTCTATTATATTTTGCAATATTATAAGCAAAATTGAAAGTTTGCATTATTATAAGCAAAATTGAAAGAAATGGTTACTTTCGTCATTTTGGGACGATTACTCCAGAAAATGGGTATGACAGTTTTGATGTAATAAGACAGTTGGTAGAACTCAACTTCTAACACTATGCCCCTATCAGATTTTCTCTTTATAAAGCGGTTTTAAAATTAATATAAAAAAAACTTTTCTCCTATGTTTCAACTTCATATTTGTCGGCCATGTTGTTTGCAAACAGTATCAAGGGACACGTTTGTAACACAAGATATCCCAAAGATGATAGTGGCCAAATTAGATTTCAATTTGCCAAGTATTTCAGAGGAGAAGAATTGTGTTGGAGTTGACGGTTGAGGACGAAGGATCACGGACGCCGGATGCCAAATGATAAGAATAGCTCACTTGACCCTTCAGGTTAGGTGAACTAAAAACTTGAACATGTAAAATAAGTAGATGGCTTACATTCTTGTATTCCATTGAAGCTGTCCACTTCTCCTAGCTGTAATAAGAAGTTTACTTTTAAAGCAAATAAAGCTGATTCGTTTATGAACATGGAATACTGCTGATGTATAATGATTTTAAAAAAGGTATACATAATACTTGATTAGTTTCGTGCGTCCAAAGCGTTTTTCGGTATGTTAAAGTGATGTCTACGAGTACTCGAGTATCGCTCGATTGTACCGAGTATCGGAACCACAATGATACTTGATTAATCGGTTTCCACGACATCCCCTCCTTTTTTAAAAATTGTTATTTTTGAGAACACTCGTCCGAGAATTCAATAGCAATCACCAAATAATTTTAGTTTAAAAATCGTTTTGTATGTTTGTCCGAAATTGTCATTTAAAATGCTTCCGAAATATTCCGTTTTGTTGCACCATATTAAAACGAATTAATGTTTCAAAGAACAAACAGAAAAAGTTAAAACAGACAATCAGGCATCACATCGGTGACTTCTTATCATATAACAACTTTGTAAATGTGTACGTTGTTTGATCTGCATAAAATTTGTATTTAAAAAGTGTTTATTTAATTTATGATTAAATTATGTTTACTTAATTGGTACATGCATGTAGTGATTGAGCTATTGATAATGGTAATTCGTGCCTAATTAAATGCAGTTTTTAATAAGTTCAATATTTGGTCAAAATAGAATCATTTTCAGTCTTAAGATTGTCCATCTAAGAAAAAAGAGGCCCAATTGAGGCTAAATTTAGAATTTATACTCTCCTGTGTTAAGAATTGTTCACATTCTTGGCGATTCATGCAGCAATTATTTCAATAGTGCTTCATTTTGTAGTTGCAATCTTTTATTATATCAAACATATATAATTTTTCATTTTCTACTGTTTTAAAGGAATATTGTTGAAAATGATTACTCCAAAGGGACATAATACAGCTTTTTCATAGATTAGTACAGGTAACAAAGGCAACTTTACAGCTGTGTTTTTTCTTTATTTAATGTTTTAAGTGTCCAACATCTTTGTTTTTATCATCTCAAGACAGAATAATGGAATTTATCACAAGCTCCGAAATTTTTTGACCACAATATGGCATATACTAAAACATGGAATGGAGATTAGAATGAACAATCTTGAATTTGTGCTTATGTTGCAAATTTTGGATAAAATGAATACAAATTGAATGGAACTGTCATTTTTATCTGTTTAAATGGTACTGTTTACTATTTTTTTTAAATAATATAAGATATGATTGGATACAGGTAGTTTATTAAGCCTTATCTGAAAGAAATAGAGAAAGAAATAAACCAGCATGTAGGGGTGGTGACATACAATGATCCATGTTTCTTTAAGTAATGGGGACATACAAGTATTTATTATAGCCAAGGTTTTCACAATAACTCAGTACTGCATTGGTGGTGTCATAAGAATTCTGTATATCTTTATGTCACTGTCTAGGGAAAAAAGTAATTTTACATTTTCCCGGCTTTACGTTCGTCTTTTGTGTACCCAAGGAAGGTGAAAGAAGTCAACTTAGGAGCGCTGTGATTGGATGTAAGGGTACAATCTATTTTTTATTTATCTATATCTATGAACAACTGCCTTGTGTATATTTACAATATATATTTTGAAACCCATTGAAATATTTTCTTGAGAACTATTCGAAAAGACTTCCAAAAATTCATAAATTTGAGGAAAAATGACGGTGGGCATGGATAAACAAGCTCCGTTGGAAGATGGTCATGATACTATTTGACTTGAATTTCTAAAACAGAATAATAAAGTACTAATACCACAAATAACTGTTTTGTCCAGCTTGTTGTTATAAAAAGAGAAAATGTTAATATTGTCGGCTATGGCAGAATAAATACTACCGTTTTCCCTTAAGGTAGAGGATGTTATGAAAATCGTTAATGACATTTAACCGAAATTTGAAACCTCAAATTTATTATTATCATTAAAGTTTGGAAATGAAAAAAAAAAATGAAATATTTACAGGCTATTGAAATTGTTATTTTTTTATTTTTACACCATTGTGATGATTTGTTGATAAATGACATTAATATGAGTCACTTACATTGTATGTAGTCATATTAGATAACATTGCTAAGTTGTATACAGAAATCTGAAGAATATGAACTTCATCTTCAACTCTATCAATTGGAACTTTGAGCCAGCAGTTATCAATATCCAGGACTATTTCATGCATGAAACATTCCCCCTTAGGAATGCAGGAACATTCAGAAAACTGATCGCAAATTTGTTGTGTCTGTAATATATATGGAAATATATATCCAAATTGCATAACAAAATATTGAAATATTTCAACATCAACCTAATTTAAAAAAAAAAACAAACCAATGTATAATGAATATGAGAGCGTAGCAAGAAAAATATAACAGGTAAAGTAATACTTATTTTATATTTTACTACAAATTGCCAAAAAAGAATTATTTATTTTGTGATAATGTTTATTTTTTTTTAATTTTCTGTTCATTGTTTTTACATAATAGATCTATCGTCAGGCATTTTGTCTCCTGTTTACTGCTGAAATATTATTACAATAATATTATGAAATTATTGATACATGTAGGATGGTATCTTCCCATTTTGTTGATATATTTTATTATCTTTAAAAATCACCTGTGATTCGACAATGAAGTCTTTCTGGTTCTTCACTTCCCCTGTGCTTTCAACCACGAACTTGAACGAAACTTTACTGATTCCACTGTGTATATCTTTGGCATCGACAGTTACTCTGTATGCAACATATAACATTAAATAATTAATGTTTATATTCCACTTGATGAGATTTTCTAAAGGTGTCTGTAAGGTAAATTTTTTCCAGCGATTGGTAAAAGCATTTCGTTGAGTTTGAAATGATTATCTATTTTATTCAATAATATTTTCAAAAGTGCATTATGAAAAGGATGAGGCGTTAACTACTTTTATTTACGACTGTCACTCAGTTAACAATGATCGTGAAACAATAGGTCATGGTGTTCAAGTAATGCAATCAGATTTTGAAAAATCTGTTGGAAAATCTGTTTTATTATCAAAAGGATGAAACATAAAAACAAAGAAATCAATCAAACTTATAAATATACCTCAATAATACCGAGCAGTAAGCTAAAGAAAAAAATCAGTACTGGTTAAGAACTTAAAAAGAGCGACTATGGCATGGTATTGGTTGCAAAAATTTGATATTTTTCATTTAAATGCAATATTTCTTATTTAATTGGTATATTTCTTCATTTAAATGCAATATTTTTTTTTTAATGGTATATTTTTTCATTTAAATGCAATATTTTTTATTCAAATGGTATAATTTTTCATTCAAATGGTATAATTTTTCATTCAAAAGGTATAATTTTCATTCAAATGCAATAGTTTTTATTCAATTGGTATAAAATGTCATTTGAATGCAATATTTTTTATTCAATTGGTATAGTAGTTTTTAATTTATATGCAATAATTGCATTATGGGAAATTCTTTGACGTCATAAGGTCAAATTTGCAACAACGTTTGTGATTGGTCGGAAATTGTTTGGATTTCTCCCCTTTCTATCTAAACATGGATGACCAAGAATGAAAAAACGCGTCAGAATATCGCCCTTCTAACTAAATCTAACGTTCGTGCAAGTCCTGCACTGGCTGTTAAAATCTTGTGGTCATAACTAGTATTTCTATTGCAAAATTTCGATGGTCAAAACGTTCGGTCCACTTTTCAAAAACCGTTTCATTGAAGACCGTACGTTGACCTTTAATGGTTTACATTTACAAATTATGACTTGGATGGAGAGTTGTCTCATCGGCACTCATACCACATCTTCTTATATCTATATACAACGTAAACCAGACGTTTTTCAGACTGTTTTCTTTTTTTAATAAATCCTTTGCCGCGCGTTGTGTACTGATTGATAACTCAGTCTGGGAGAACATCATTTATTTCAGAACCAGTTTTAATTAGGTTTGAGCAAACTTTCAGTAATTGCAAATACTCTTATGTCGGTGCTTTATGTCTATTGTCTTAATGTTATTTTTTTTGTGTGCCTCGTACCGATATTTTGAGTTAATTTGCTGATTTGTGCAGGTTGTTATTTTATTGTACTGTTACACCACTGTCCCAGCTTCGGGATGGGTTGCTCACAAACATGTTGTTGTACTGTTACATCGCTGTCCCAGATTAGGGGGAGGATTGGGATCCCGCTAACATGTTTAACCACGCCACATTCTGTATGTATGTGCTTGTCCCAAGTCAGGAGCCTGTAATTCAGTGGTTGCCGCTTGTTGCTTTGTTACACATATTTGTGTTTCGTTCATTTTTTTTTACACTAATTCGGACGTTAGTTTTCTCGATTGAATTGTTTTACATTTTTGATTTCGGAGCCTTTTATAGCTGACTATGCGGTGTAGGCTTTGCTTATTGTCGAAGGCCGTACGGTGACTTATAGCTGTTGATTTCTGTGTCATTTGATCTCTTGTGGAGAGTTGTCTCATATGCAATCATACCACATCTTCGTTTTTATATCCACCCTGCCATATTCTTTATTTGCCTGTCCCAGGGATGGAGCCTGTAGTTTAGTGGTTGTCGTTGGTTCCTGTCTCGACTCATATTTGATATTTTGTAAATTGTTTTGTTATGTATAATTAGGCTGTTAGTTTTTTCGTTTGAATTGTTCACGCTTTTCATGTCGGGCCTTTTATAGACAACTTTACAGTATCAGGTTTTTGTCATTGTTGAATGCCTTACGATTGTCTACAAAAAGCATTTGTCTACATGACGGCAAAAAGCTCTACAGAGCTTATGTTTGTAGTATTTCATGTAACCCGACTTAAAATATTTTTTTCTTATCTTATCTTATCTTATCTATAATTGCTTACATCCACTTCATATTTGAACTCCGGTGGATAGTTGCCTTATTAGCAATCATATTCCATCTCTTCATTTTTATATTATATACGTGACTTCTTAACTCGTGTTTTCCTGAACAAGCATGAAATAATTTTCACTGGGCGTTAAAATTAGCAACAAACAATCAATCAATTTAAACTTGTGTTAAATAAGAGGAAAACCATTTGATATTTATTTATTTGTTGGGGTGGGGGATTTCATAGATGAATATGGTTGCCTGGTAAGAGATGAAAAATAGGCATGATTAGCGACAGATTGAAATGAATAATAATGCCCTCTCTTCCCTTCACCATCCTTCATCTATAAATTTAAACTGACCACCACGGAATAGCCAAGTAGTGTTGAAAGTAGCGTTACACACCAATCAATCAAAATCCCTTCCCTAGAATATCAAATAATCGTCCCTTAACTGTTATTGTCCGTGTAGTTCTTATATTTATCCAGCTTATCGTCCTACAGGGATGTCCTACTAAGGCTGTCATACCATAAAAACGTTTATAAAACAGCTCACATTCTAATATATCTGCATTCATAAATTTATTAATTTCATTTAGACTAAACGACGCCATGTTTATTATGTGCCTCTGCCGTCAACCTATCAAAAAAGAAGAGGTGGAAGAGAGACAGAAGATCTTCCCAATGCAAAAAAAAACAGAAATTGACTTCTTCTGGCTCACTTCCGAAGAACAAAAAAAAACGCGCCCCATTGATATGTTTTAAAAACGCCTTGCCCCTACCCTTTTTTCCAAAAAAATGGCATTATTAAATATATAAACATATATATAATCATCAAAATTAAAATGTTATTGTATTTTTATAAGACCTACTTTATTACATGACCTATATGAATTAAGTTTTTTTTATCCTACATTGAACTTTTGAAGTCGTCCCTAATGTGCAAAAAAATAGATAAGGGGCGGGACCAAACCTATAGATAACATAATAAAGAAATGATGAAATATACAGAGTACGTTGATTGACTTTTGGTTGCCTTATGTCCAGTGGCAAATATGTCACGCATGTTTAGGACAAATATAATAGAGATCAAAGGATAAAGAATAGAGTGAAATGGTAAAAACTAAAAGATATAGAATTATAGAAACGATCTTTGATCTGAAACCCCTACCCTCACACACACACTCCATAACCATTACTGCCAATACTCGAATATATACATCTCTATACAAATATCTAAATTTGAACCTACTCCCCCCCCCCCCCCCCCCCTTCACACCGAGGTTTTGGATACGCCCCTGTTAAATGTGTGTAATTATATACATTTTGTACGGGTCTAGATAATAGCTAAACGTACAATCATATAATTTGTTGGATACCTAATTATATTATATAATGTGTCACAAAATAAACTTGTATACCCCCCTTCCCAATGCAGTATTGAAAAGTAAATCATTTAAAAGTCCTGAAGATAAAATATGTTTTAAAATATGCCCTGCATACTTATTTTTGCAAAGACATATAGTAATTATTGAATTACTGTGGGGCTTGAAAAAAAATCTATTTAAGAGATTCGGAGGCGAGAACATAAAAAAAAAGCTCAGCAACGAATCCTAAATGTAAATTGATTTGCAGCATAAGACATGAGAGCACATTTTATAGATAGTATTAAATATGAAGTTCACGCCTCATATAGTGAAGTCATATGTCATAGGACTAATGTTGTAACATGGGTTAGTAACTGGTTCCAATTTATCCTGCATTGTCTTTATTAAAGAATTAGTTCCGGAGTATAACAGCTTATGTCTCTACTTGTGGATTTCTGGTTCTGCTGTCGTAATTAGGTGTTTTTCTACATGTAGGAAAACAGAGGGTGCTTAGTCCAAGTAATTGTAACGTCCTGGATGCTTTTTATTCTTTTTTCATGTGTGCCTTCCTGCAACGTCTCTGAGGATCAAGAAAAGTAAAAAATGATATAGCACTAAAGAACGTCATGATTACATGTATCTGGACTTAGAAGGGGAGGGGGGCTAGCTATGTATTTTTTTTTTATTTCAATGTGTAGACTGTAGGAGAGTTTCTTCAGAAAAGGTTTTCATTGGAGGTGTTTTTACCATGCACGCAGGCATCTGTTTCTATCCATGAACAAGTTGTGTGTCAAATTAATTATTATTACTTGTCACTCGCATTTTTTGCTCGTTCTGGCCATATTTAGTAAGAAGGGCGATATTCTGACGCGTTTTTTAATTCTTGGTCACTCAAGTTTAGAAAGAAGAAAGGGGAGAAATCCAAACAATTACCGATCAATCACAAACGTTGTTGCAAATTTGACCTTATGACGTCAAAGAATTTCCCATAATGCAATTATTGCATATAAATAAAAAAAACTACTATACCAATTAAATAAAAAATATTGCATTCAAATGACATTTTATACCAATTGAATAAATTATATTGCATTTGAACGAAAATTATACCATTTGAATGAAAATTTATACCATTTGAATGAAAAATTATACCATTTGAATTAAAAATTATACCATCTGAATAAAAAATATTGCATTTAAATAAAAAATATACCATTCAAATAACAAAATATTGCATTTAAATGAAGGAATATACCAATTAAACAAGAAATATTGCATTTAAATGAAAAATATCAAATTTTTGCGACCAATAACATGCCATAAGCGACACATTATTCTATGCGATTCATTTAAAAAATTTTGAATCCATAATGGTCATATTCCAATATATTATGATATATTGGAAACTGAAACTAACTATCATATGTGTCAAGTAGAACAGTAAAATTGAAGTGTTTTTTTCCTTGTATAGGTTCAGATTAATTTGAAAAAGTAAGATTTCGATATTTTCAATCTAAACTGATCGTGAAAAATCAGACAACGCATTGTTATGATCGTGAAAGGCAACAAGTAACCAGACATTATGATCAGTAAATTAGATATACTTATAACTAGTTGAAATGTGTCATTACTGTATAAGAACATAATTAAAATTAATGTTTTAAATAAATGTTGTTTTTTTAAATTTAAAAATTGTTGTGTAGTTGACCACCATAAACTTTTTAAAACAAGTTATCAAATAACTCAATGAAAGATAGTATTTATATTTACAAATACCTGTTCCATGGTCATTCACAAAATAAACATAAACAGCATAAATATCTTTCCTTCTTAAGCAAAAATAAAGATAAATGTATCTTTATATACATTTTTACACACATAGTTATACATTTTTTCACTTAAGAGGCAATTTGATTGATATACATCAACAATAATAAGGCAACCAGAAGCGTAACTTTTTGATTAAAATGAGAATCATTGTATCTATAATAATAAATGCATTAGTGAATAATTAAGTGAGAGATAGTCTGTGGGTCTTCCCTGGTAATGCAGGCATAGCAGGGTTTGTATCTTTAAAATGTTTTAAATCTAAACAGATAGTCAATTACATGACGCTAATCACGCATCACTATAAATAACATCTGTCTTACTCTGAGTCAGAATCATGTGTCCGGGTATAATGATATTCTTCTGTGAATTGTGAGTTCATTTCAGCTCGAATTAAACAAAAATCTGCTTGCCATATAGGTCTATTAATTAAGGCAGAACTCTCTTTTTATCGGATCATTCCATGTTTTAACTGTCGCTATTTAGCTATTACTGACAGCAAAATGTTTAAAACAAAAAGGCGATAGCGCAATCAATCTGTTATTTACAATTTGAAGGTGTAATACTACCAACTTTTTGTGCTAGAATACATTGCTGAATATAATGAACTTACTATATATTATATGGTTATAGGTTAAGGCACAATACAGAAAAAACAAAAATAATCTAGAGTTCTTTATATCTAGTTTCTATAAGTTTTAGAAGGGGTGGATTTTGGAAAAGCATATTATACCTATGTACGAATTTTTGTTAAAATCGTAGCACACAAAATGATTCTTAAAGTTTTTAATTGAGAGAAATCAGTTCTTACCACAGAGCGGACACCACTAATCTATTTAGAATAGAATATGATACTCATTTCAATTTCGTTCACCTCCTCAAGTCAAACAAATTACGAGTTAAAGTAATTTAGCGATGTTTAAATCTCGTAAATCGATTTGAAAAGACAATTCAAGGTAACATACGAAAAACAGAAGACATCATAAACATTGTGCATATAAATGATTGAAATAAGATAAGACAATATTGACTTATCATACGTCAGACAGTGATTCCTGGAGGGTACCACCGAATAGTTGACGAGACCTTATTAAATAACCAGATCCAATGGCATTGAACCCTCATAGACCTATTCCGACAACAAAATTGAATCGGATTAACTCAATCGTTTGCTTTACCAATTACAATAATTAGTAATCAAATAATTACCGAATGATTTGAACGCTTTTAAGGTTTTGGCAAAAAACACATAAGCGACTACTGATTTATCACGATCTTTTTCATTATCATCAAAAAGTGGTTTCCGATCTTTCAGGATCAGAGATATTAAAATTATATAAGTATACCAATTTATCCATACTTTATGATTAAGGTACTAGTAGTTAGTGCTAAAGAAATAATTGTAAGGGCCATTTGAAGCAGTAATATTGCTATGTGGTGGATACACTTGGTAATATTATACCAGGTTCAACCCACCATTTTTTCTTAAAATGACCTGTACCAAGTCAGGAATATGGCAGTTGTTATTACATAGTCCGTGTCTATGGATGTTGACGTTTGTTTTTGTAGCAGTTCAGTGTTTCTGTTGTTTACTCTTATAGTTGATGTGTTTCCCTCAGTTTTGGTTTGTGACCCGGATTTGTTTCAGTTAAATCGATTTATGACTCTTCAACAGCGGTATACTACTATTGCCTTTATTGAACGTTATTATTCAAAGAATTTTTATTTATTCATTTGCATATTAATGTTTGTTCACATTGTTTATGTCATTGAAAGGATGATGAGATACCTGCCCTATTGAAGTTTTTAAAAACTTTTGAACTTTGAATTTGCTCAGATACTGCTCAAAATTTGAACCATTTTGACGGACATATTTCTTTTTTTTTCGGATTTTTTTTACTACCTTTTGATAATACAATAGATTTTGTCTACATATTTTGTAGTATAATTGCATTCACGATCCGGTACCAGACATTCAACGATCCAAACACAAAACTTAACCACCACTTAGTTTTTCAAGATCATTCTTATTAATATTATGAATGGCAGCAGTTTGATTGATCATGTCATCTGTGTTTAGCCTGATTGAAAGTTTTCATCCTCCTGCTTTGTTTGAAACGGTTTCAAAATGGTAAGTTCAATTTATTTTTGTCAAAATTTGTATGTTACTATAACTATAAATCACTGTTGTACATGTGGGAGCTTTAGCTAGCTATAAAACTAGGTTTCAACCATCGTTTTCTTTAGAAAATATCTGTACCAACTCAGGAATTTGACAGTTGTTTTCCGTTCGTTTCGATTGTTGATATAGTCAGGTTTTATGGGCTTCTCCCTTTTTGAATTTATCTTGGAGTTTGTTATTTTTGTTAATACTTTTTTTTACTGGTAAGAGTGCTTACTTTCATGTGCGTTTTCTCATCACTGATGACGGAACGGATACGGATTTAAATCAGATGACGTTCCTTTTTCTGGCTGTTTATTGAATAGAAAAATCAAATTTCGGGTTCGACTGTCTTTTGTTATGTTTAATGTTAGTTTCTATAGAACGTCCTATACATACTTTCATGTTACCTATTTTTCTTTCAATTTTCATGATGACTCTGGTTAATAGTATTGGCAATCACACCACATTTCCTTATTTTATTATCAAGGGAAATACATATGATCTTTGTTATATGTTACATATTTTATTTTTTAATGTTTTGTGATGTTGGATCTTTTGTTTTCATGTACATGTTTTTATTGTGTTACTGATCATGGCTGCCTTAAACATACTCCCATTTCGATATGGTGTGCTCCTTTGGTCTTTCGAAGCTCAAATTCCATCTTCAGGAGGAGAGGAAAATGGTGGTTAAGAAAGAGATAATCGCAATGATATTGCAGGTTAGGCTTGCAGCTGTTGTTGCAAAAAGGTTTGAGTGTGTCCCCGTTTTTTGTTTCCTTTTTCGTATTCCCATGAGTGCAACTGAGTCTGTTCCTTATGATAAATATTATCTAGTTTTTTCTAAATTTTGGTAAACATATTGTGTTTTGATAATATACTACACTTTATTTGTCATCGGTGTTTGATGATTTCAAGCAAAAAGAACGACATTTAGAAAACAAAGTGAAGATTGCAAACATGGCAATTTTCTATATGTTCTTGTCCCAAGTCATGAGCCTCTAATTCTCTGGTTGTCGTAGGTTGCTGTTAGTCACAATTTGGTTTTTGTTATTTCTTATGTCATAATAGTTTCACATTTTACCGGGATCTTTTATATTTGACTATACGGTATCAGTTTTTCTCATTGTTGACGGCTGTACATTGACTATCATGTATACCATTTGTCCTTATTTTATATACACTGGCAACGTATATTATTAATGTGTATGAGGTCTATTTCAATTATTTATGTTTTGAAATCCTCAAATTTCGCATATCGCTGGTAGAAAGATCACATTGATAGATTTATACATTTTTATATTACTAATCTTAATATTGTACATGCAGTTTCATGACGAATTCAAGACACATTTTAATACAATAAACACGCATATCATTTGTAATCAATGTGAATAAACTATAGAAGAAAAGAAATCATCAAAGATGACCCTTTTCAATTGAAAAATTATATATATAGCATTAATAAATAAATGCATAAGAAAGATGGATTTAATAATCATATGATTACAGTAAAAACGTACCTGCTTGAAAAGGGAAACTGTCCATCGTCGACATTTTTTTTAAACGTAGGAGGGTACACTAGCGGTTGGCTGTGATCGAAATGTACTACTGTTGAATCAATCTTTTTATTCCCCATAGCATCAATTGCACGAACCCAAACTTGGTATGAATCCCCATCTCGAATATTCACGCCACTCAGCACAATACTTTGGTTTTCTTTCAGTGGAAGAACGTTTTGCCAACCATTTGTTGGTGGTTCCGTATTAGGTGTACCGTGGCGTATTTCAAATTCAACAATAGAATTAATATTTGATATTTCAACTTTAGATCTGTTACCTTCATTATCATCAAATTGAGATTCAATTTCTTTATAGTCCGCTCTCTTGACATCGTCAATGAGTCTTCGGGTATAGTCTTGGACTCTTGCCAAGAAATGACCATTTTCATGTACTTCGTTGATAAAATGGTTTTCCCATTGTACCATCAAAGTGGTCGTCTGTTGATTGTTAGGGGTCGTCTGCCAGCTGTAGTTGGACTGATTTGATGCCGATGAAACGAACAACCGATGACTTGACTTAGTGGATATATTTGATGTTTTGTCGAATATTGCTATTCTTCTCACATATCTAGAATTATTTGCTTTGTCAGCAACTTCAAGTATTGTTGAATAGACCCCTGGTCCCTTGGGTTCATATTCTGGGAATGTATTGTTGCTTGCTAGTACCTCGGTTATAAACTCTGGTACTGGATTATAATTTGGCAAAATATCTGGTTCTCTTAAAACTGAATAATCAAGACTATATTCCATCTTCCATACTTCAAATGCGTACCGTTTTACCCCAGACAAATTACTATCGGACCATCCAGACCATTTTGGCTTAATTGGTCTCTGTTAAAATAATAATAATAGTAATAATGATAATAATAATAATAATGAATCGCAAAATTGATTAGCAATGATTTCTTGCATGTATTTATATTTGAGTTCTAATCAAATATGGCTAGACCGTCGTAAATACAGCCACTTTTACCGAAAGCCAAACTGACTACTTACTTATATACTTTATTATGATAAACCGCTGTAGAAACAAAGGTACACAGAAGAACATAGACATTATACGATAATACAAAGGTACATATGTTGAGGAAATACATACAATTATACAAAGGAACATATGTTGAGGTGATAAACTAGAGGCTCTCAAGAGCCTGTGTCGCTCACATGTATCTACTCTGTTTTTGGAAATCATGTAAAATAAGGTTCAAATCATAATAAATAGAATTAGATACCCTAATAATGACTGAGACCAAGTTTGATTTAATTTGGCCCAGCAATTAAATTAAAAGCAGGTCATCCTATTTTAGTCTTACAATAGTTACTGAATAACCCTTATCATTATTTGAATTAGTTTTCAAGTTTCCATTTGAAATTGGTTTGTTAAGAATTTTCCATTAGACTTAGACTTTCAATCAAGATACCCTATTGAAAATTGTGGCTAAGTTTAATGTTATTTGGCCCAGTAGATTAAGTGGAGAAGATTTTTGTAAAAGATAACAAAAATTTACGAAAAATTGACTATAAAGGGCAATAACTCCTTAAGGGTCAATTGACGATTTTGGTCATATTTATTTATTTGTAGATCTTACTTTGCTGAACATTATTGCTGTTTATAGTTTATTTCTATCTATAATAATATTCAAGATAATAACCAAAAACTGCAAAATTTCCTTAAAATTACAAATTCAGGGGCTGCAACCCAACAACAACTTGTCTGATTTGCATTTTACCCCATGTTCTATTTTTAGCCATGTCGGCCATGTTGGTTGGCAGATGGGGTCATCGGACACGTTTTTTTTAAACTATATACCCTAAAGATGATTGTAGCAAAGTTTGGTTAAATTTGGCCCAGTAGTTTCAGAGGAGAAGATTTGTAAAAGTTAACGACGGACGACGACAGACGACGACGGACGACAGACGACAAGTGATTTCGGCCAGGTGAGCTAAAATTACAATAAAGATACATAAATATATTTACATGTTAAAATTGTGCAGTGTATATTAAATGGAAGACTTTAAAATATGAGGGAGGAGGGAGAAGGTTAATTGAGAGAATCCACTTCATCGTTTATAACTCTAATAAACTTACACAAATTTCAAAGCTTAGATTGTTTAGATGTATTCATAAGTTCCTAAACTTAAGAATAATGAAATTCTTAACGTGTTGTTTTCATCTTTTACAATTTTACAATTTTTTTCTATTAAGCATTCTTTCCTCTCTGTAGTAAAAACTTTGTATTTGAGGAGATAATGGTATTGTTCACCAATATCGCCATCTTCACATAAACAGCAAGTCCGATTTTTCTTGTGATATTATACTTTCTCCAACATTCTATTGGCAGTTTATGATTTACCATTCCGAATTGATAGAATGTATACATGTTTTTGTCGCTTAGTACACCGAAATACTTTTCAGTGATTAACGATTCTGAAACAGCCTGTAATTCAAAGTTTTTGCAGAGGTTTCTACACTTGAGACCAAAGTTTTACTAAAACATAAATATGGACGTATCAACATTTCGATATATTTTGAGTTATCAATGATTAGATTTCGAATTCAACTGGTCAGAAAAAAAAACAAGTTCAACTTTTCGTTACTAAGAGGGTAAAAGGGAGCTGTTGTAGGAAACCTAATTCCGTGATGCAGTAAATGTCTGCATAAGACTAAATAAAACAGCCATGATAAGTATATTAATATATTATACATAGTTTTTCCTATTCTATTATTTTATTTTAAATATAGGCAAAACTGTAAGTCTAATAGGATATTCGGACTAAAGAAGTACACATCTTGTGCTGTTAGCCAGTTCTCACATCTAATGTAATTTTTTTGTATAAACCATTAAGCCCAGGACATATATTTAAGAATATTAAAAAGTGTGTGGCCAATATTCTAATTCAAAAAGTAATTAATTAATTAATCTAGGTGTATGCCAAGGGAGACAACACTTGTAACATTCGACTTCGTCATTAAATCCGTAACCGATGATAGTGATGAGAAAGTACATCCGGATTTCTGTAGTATTCCACAATTAACCAGAAATGCATCATCATACACTACAAACTGCTCAAAGTCTGAAAAGACCATATTTTGTGCTCGACCTGTAAGATTTTACTTGATAAGACTCGACATAATCTTGACAATACTTAACTGTACTTAACTGTACTCGACCCTGGTCTCGACTTTACTTTGAGTACGTGATAATCTTGGTATAGTCTGAAATGGTTCCGACAAATGCTCGACGAATCTAGACCTGTCTAGACCAGTCTCGATCTGTCTCAACTCAGTCTCGACCTGTCTCGACCTGTTTCGACTCAGTCTTGACAAAAAACTGTTCATGACAAAGGCATTACACATGAAACGTCAATTAAACATTAAGTGATAATCATTCACACATGGACATATAGAAAAAAATTATTTTGAAAAAAAACCGGAATCGTATATAAAACTTCTACAGATTATTTTTTTCCACAAACTTTACAATGATTTCTTTCCCTTGGCTACTACAAAATTATAGTTTGGAGAAAAAATCTTGAGACCACCATATGATCTTCAAAAAGACAAGTATCTATACAGCATGTAAGTATAAGTCGTCCAGGGTCTAAAAGAGGTTCCCAAAGATTTGCTACAATAATAACATTACGATATATAGACTCATTTGTTATGTTTCTGACTTGGGATAGACTCATTAACCTTTTGCGGGGTCAAACTAGTTAATTGGTTACTACAATTCAACAAATATTTCACAATACGTCCATACTGGAGTTTTGGTCCATAAATTCAAGGTTTTAGCTTATGCAATACTATTTCAATTCAAAAATATGTAATTTACAGATAATATTGTTCAATACGAAACTATGACTCGTCTACATTATTTCCAAATAAAAAACACATTTTCAAAAGAAACCCATGTTTAACTCCGCACATATTCGTCATTTAATTCATCTTTGAACATAACATATAAGTTATGATAGTTAAACACAGTTCTTGTTATTTTTACTATATATTTCTTTTGGTAAAGATTTACACGAGGCTTGGTAATCTCGTCACGAATGAACCCAATTGATGTGTTGATACAGTAAACATAAATGTAGCTATAAATTATTTGCTACGATATAATTCAGTCTTCTAGCATAATATACATTTCTAATCGAACGCGACAAAAACAAAAATGTGGAATTGTGCACATATCAGGCATTTCCAGGTAAAACAAAGCGATTACCATTATTATTTCAAGTCCATATGTTATGGCAAATTGCATGCATTAAATTATTATATTTTATTATGTGTAAATTTAGTGATAAGAAAAAATTAAGGAAAAAGGAGGCTGTTAAGATATGGTTAACTTTGGGACATTAAATAACTCTATGTGATTCTAGTTTAAAGAACATGTATATACCAAGTCACTTTAAGTTTAATTATTTACAAGGCAGTGCCATTAAAAAGTTTGCCCTATTGATTTTATTACAATTCATTGTGTGTTTTAAAGTCTGGTTAATTGTTTCGGAAAGAGCCATTGCTCATACGTTTTATCTAAGCACTCCTTGACATCCAGGCACCATTATTCTAATAATAGATTGCGTGAGCTAGTTTTCCCCTTTCTCTTGATTAACGTGAACATATTTTGGGGTGTTTTTATTATTTAACAGTGGGGTAACGGATGATTGGTTAATATAAGACAAGATGCTTATGTATGATGTTATGTATGTTTATATGTTGAATACTATGTATTGTATTACCAGTTTCATTTGGACCAGCAATGAATAAAGTTGTATTTTTAAAAGCTTGTTTTCATTACAGTCTCACAAGCAGCAGAAGATCAGTAAACATACACATAAGAGCATCATCACTGCATTCAGTTATCATAAACCCCCAGAACGCACCCAAAACCTCGTTCACAATACCTCAGGTACATCACCTTGCTGAAGTGGAACCTTAAAAACATCTTTTTGCTCAAGAAATGAGCCATCTCACCTTTTATTTTTTTTAACAGTTACTGAAATGGAACTATGTAAACACTGACAACATATCTTAGTAACGCCCCTTTGCTAATGTGAAAAATAAAAAGACAGTGGTAAAATACCACTTACAGTAACATCCCCTTACTGAGTGGAAATATATAGATTGTTAACATATATTAGTTGTATATTCACAAAACTGTGGAGTTCAACTGGCTGAAGAGTACCCTTACAGATAGCTTTTACATACCGCATCATTCTCTCGCGCAGCTGATGTGAAATTACATAGTGTAAGCATACTTAGGTTGAACTATATAACTAGTGGAGTTATACCCTAGTAATATCCTCTTCTAGCTGAAGTGGAACTTCATCAGAAATGCAAGTGTTGAATTCTTTACAGTGAACTGGCTTATCGTAGTCAAACCGATACTCCATATTCTGCTGAGAACTAACTCCATCATATATCTCTTTACTATACATTTGGTTATTGTTTGTATTAATAAGTTGTCGATATCCGCCTGTGGTTACTGTGTAAGTCAGAAAATATCTGCAACAATTTCAATCTATTATACTTATATCAATATACAGATGTAATGATCTGCTTAAATGTATCATTATCCTCGAGAAAATAAGGAAACGGGGTATTCTTTTATACACAAAAAAAAGAGACAAAGATTTTAACAACAACAGGTATTTATACGGCTTTCTACAATAAGCAAAACTCCTTTTATACAGTAAATGATAATCAACCCCAAACTATAATACAAATGCAAAAGAGAAATCCAACAAGCTGATGTATACAACAGTCATCGAATACATGACAGCGACCAACAAACGACAAATTTACATGAAGACTGTCTACAGCAATAACGTATCATTTTTAAGGACTGCATTTCGAGAAATTGCAATATGAGTTGTAAACAATGCATATTTTCGATGTTTTTTTATACATTACATAATATGAATGAATTACTTTACAAAATTTTAATTGACTGTATCTCTGGTAGTGCAAATGCTACATGTATCCTTTTTTGTGATATTCAGATTCTGTTCAACATGTTATAAATCAATACAAAATTTCATCGACCAATTTGTCTTAAGTGAAGTGAATTACAATTTAGAACAATGTTTTTTCAATAAAATGATTTTCTTATTGCTGTTCGTAACATACATTTTGTACAATTCAAAGGATCTTTCATTATCAAAAAAATCTAAATTGACCAAAACACGGAGTGAATGATTTTAGAGAAAACACAACGCCAAAATCAGCAGGAATACATGTCGAAAATCCCCGTTTAGAAAAACCTCAAAAACATAATATTACACCACAATGTCAATAATTGGAATATTATTACTGGTTTTGGACAAACGCACAAAACAAAAGCAAGACAAATAATTTTGGGATCTCTCGTCCATCTCCCAAGTGAGAACTTGTACAATTAACGCTAACAAAATGAGAAAAAAAACTTCAACAATAATCCAATATACTCTCTCCATATAAGATAAAAAGTAGAATACAATACAAAAAAAAAATAATAATAATAACAAGAAATTACTTAAGAGTTGCTGCAGTTACCAGTTGTACACTAATAGCTGTAAAATTATTTATCACCCATATATCGTGTTAACAACTAGCACCTTGATTACCCTTCTAAAAAAATCCAACTGTCTAACATAAGCTAAGTCTTCATCAAATTAAAAAAATTTACACCTAGAGAAATAAGAATTTTATAACGGTATTGCACGGATATATCTTTTCGTGAATGAAGACGATAGATACATAATTTCTGTTTCGAGAATTGGCTACCGGGTAATTTACCTGTCTCCTGAATCCACCTGGAATACATTGGTACCATTATTCATCCTACATTTTAGAACTGTATTAGCTATTGGATTGTCATTGGAAGGCTGGGTACAAGTAAAAGTTTCCCTGTTTACTTCGTATTCGCCACCTATTCAAAAGAAATTAGACTCATAAAAGAGTAAAATATAGGGAACATGGATACACATTTTCAATTTATTCAGTCTTTTCTGTAACATTACATTCACTACACAGAGTCCTATTCGTTTAGAAAATGTATGCACAAGGGAGAATGAAGCAACGCACAGTTTAAACTCACTTTGTCCAAGTTTAAGGTGAACAACTAACACGTTTGCATCTACTATTCCAAACTTCATGTAACTGATGTATGCTGGTACAGGTGGAATATGACGAAATGTATAATTGACATCTATGGAGGCATCAATGTCGAAGTTCATTATATTAAACTCATTCGAATTCGTCCAAACTAGGTCGACCTCTGATGTATTCGTTGCGTCTGTCATAAATTCGTAATCAAATTTCTTTGTTGTATAACTGTACTTAGCAAACGTCGCATTGCCTTTCTCTATCAAAGGTTTGAATTCATCACTCTGTACTGAAAACGAATTTAAATACATATAAAAAGAAATACTAATGATATAATAACTCGTTTTCACTGCAGATACATTTGAAAATTATCCTTATTGGGTTATTAAACGCAGGCATATATATTTTGGAACCAAAGTAAATTGATCTCCAGATATCTTTTAAATTGTATAGCATTGACAAAAATTAAAAGCTGAACACAAGAAGCGTCAATGAATAAAACCAATAATTAGTCAAATCTTAACCGTTGCAAATCATTCCATTATAAAAAATCGATTTCAATGTTGTTTTGACGCTTGGTTGCGTTTGGGTGTTTTCTTCTTGCTTTTCGAAAAGTCGAAACAACTGCTGGTTTCCAATGAGCCATTATAACTTGAAACTCGCAAAACACTCATCAAGTCTTTCATTCTTACCTGGGTTTCGTATGCTATTAACAACGATATTCATTAAACATTTGATATCATTTCGTTATGTGTGGGAGTTGTTAGGCAAGTATTTTTAGTTTAACACTTCTGTGCATTTTTTCAATTTATTAGTCATTCTAAATATGTAATTTTTCATTCCGGATACAGTATTGTAGTTGTGAATTATTTTTGATGTCTTCATTTTAGGAATTGTGGAAATGAAATTTAATATCTACCTTCCTGTGATAACTTTAAAAATAAAAAATAAAGTGTATTGTAAGAAATGTATTGGTGTGTAAAATTATGGATGGTTGGCAAAGTTAGCAGTCAAGCTGCGCCTATATACGGAGTATGTATCTCCCAATTGATACGATATTCCAGGGCATGATTTCTTTGACAGAGGGTTGCTGCTCACAAGGAATATATAAAACCAAAAGTTCCAAGTAGTGAAGTTGAAATCATCCCTTTGTAAATTTTACGGACGCCATAACGAGTTGGTTGACCGTTATGAAATATCTTTTTCACAGATGACAACGGATATGTTCTAATTGTCGTGACTACAATCCGGTCCCCTTTCCCCGGATTTTACCTATCGAATTAGACTTATCTACTGGTCTGTACTATCATGAGCAACACGACAGGTGCCACATGTGGAGCAGGATCTGCTTACCCCTTCCGGAGATCCTGAGATCACACCCAGTTTTTGGTGGGGTTCGTGTTGCTCAGTCTTTATTTTTCTATGTTGAGTTGGTCTTTTTCTTTTTTAGCCATGGCGTTGTCATTTTATTTTCGACTTATGAGGATGAATGTCCCTTTGGTATCTTTCGCCTCTCTTTTAACACATGAAAAACACTGTAAAACTATATGACTTATAAATAAAGTTAAGGATTCCTTTTTTTTCATAATAACATAGATATTCATTTATTGGGATATTTTGTCACTATGATCGCAACTCGCTAAAATTTCGTTTATCAGTTTTCATGATATTGACCGAATTATATCACAATAAAATGTTAAAAGCCTGCAAATGTTGGAAACCAGTTTTAAATTCCTATTGATTTATTTGAAAATATATACACATGTTATACATAATTCTTACGAGTTTTACAGGTACTTCCAACGAAACCGTCTGAGCACATGCACAGATTGTTTCCATAGCATCGCCCAGGGTAACAGGGATGCAAATGTGAACAAACTGCAACTACAATATATATAAATAAAGAGGCACTGAATGATTATAACGTGTAGTTTCAAAATCAATAAATTTATGAAATACAGCATTATTTTCGTACTTCGATCTCTCAAGAGTCATTTCTGTATTCATAATCAAAATCATGTGAAAATGATATGTCACAGAATTGGTTCAAAATTGTTAAAATGTTCTAACCATTGAGATATACCAAAATATACATCAAGTTCCACATAAAATGTTGTTGTTGCTATTGCAACTGCTTAACCACTTTTTGGTCCATTTGTGTAAGTCAAAAAGGCTTAAAATATGCAATTACAATTGAATGTATATGGCCTTTTAGAGAATAAAAAAGGAAATTGTGTTTTTTGTTATGACTAAGTATGGTTATGGCATATCTAAAAATACATTTAGAAAAATATATTATTTAGCAGTTATGTCAAGAACTTATCCCCAAAAAGTGTCAAATTTCTTGTTAATTGGGAGTCCCATTTCACCCTGTTTTGAAAGCTTTAAATTCTCAACCCAGATTTTCCAGACATGGCTAAAATAGTATTTTAATAAATTAACCATTGATCAATCAAAATACAAAAATTGGGAGGTGGATATCTAAAAATTTTGCACAATTATTTTTTTCGAAACCATGGTTTGTGAAATTACGGTTTTTAATATTGCTACAAATAGAATATTGACATTAATACAAATGATTTATTTGTCTGGAAATACTTAATCATGCTATCAGAAAAAAAAACCAAATGTTCTCAAATTAAGAACAACGACTGCTGAATTCTTAAATGGCAATTAAAAACCCCTTTTAGTTACCCTCCTCCTAAGAAAAATCCCTTTCATTACGTAATGACGCAAAATTTAAGGTATTTCATGTTCATTGAATGTCTTTATGTGCGGAACACGACTGTCACTGTGTCACATGCATTTTTCGTAAACGTAATATATTGATAGAAAATGTTTTGCCGTCAAGTTAGAAGCAAGTTAGAACTGCATGATTGATAATTTGATGAACATTTTCTTATAGATTATTGTAAACTGTTTTATATGTTTCATACTTTTTAAAATCATTTCATCACACACTAGTCTTTAAGGGGTCACTTTCTTCTTGCACACTTTAAGAATGATCATCATTGACCATTGATCTGGAGTTAACTGAAATCGTGACTTTTGACGACTAGGTGAAACAGACAGCACATATAATAAGCTTTCCATGGTATATGATAAAGACGTGTGTACAGTGGGAGCATTGAAGTGGGATTCATTGGGGTCTAAGCGTGACCTGGGATTGCCGATTTTTTGTAAGCGTGACACGTGAAAGTCAAATTATTGTGCCGTGAAAACGGGAAATGAAGTCTAACGGGACACGGGAAATTACAAAAAAATGAGAATATCTTACGTACATAGTCTAAGCGGGATACGGGAATCTGACAAAACAGTAAGCGGGATCCGGGATCAGAACCCCCAATGAGACCCCCATTGAATTCCTTATTTAACTGTCCTTCAGAAAAATATCACTAGACTTTATGAACTTCTTTTTTGAGACAAAAAATAAATACCATATTAGTAAAGAATCATCTGTGAACTATGGCTAATTAGATACGTAGTCATTCGTCGTGTTTTACACGGCTATCATTCGGTATATCTAGAAAAAATGATCGTGAAAGACTAAGTAACGATGGTCAAGCGATTGGAACATGAAAGATCTGGTAACGGATCGTGAATGATCAGGCAACGCGTTATTTGGATCTGAAATAAATGCGTGATCTGAAAAGACTGTAAAGGTTTGGCTCATCGTGAAGGCCGTACGGTGACCTATTAATGCTTACATCTACGTCATTTGGTCTCTCGTTGATATTTGTCTCATTTTCAATCATTTTCAATCATTTCAAATCTTATTTTCATATGAATCATCAAAGAAATAGTTTTTTTTTACCATTGATGTACTTTAATTGATTGAAGCGTGATATTTAAATAAGATCGTACTCTTTTGTGTAATTGACCACCAGCTCATTTTTCTACAAAACCTTTAAAAAAACTTAATTGAAAATATTACTTATCATATTTTTATTTTTATAGCCAATCAGTACTTCCATGGCAATTCACAGACTAAATATGAATAGCATATATGTTGAAAGTCTAACGCTTTCATCCTGGAGGATTCCGTTCATAACTTGAGATTTTTTTAATTTATATATTTAAACTAATATTTAGACCTGGTTTTTTTTTATTAAAGGGCATAACATAACTGGACAACCAAGATAATAATGTGACCAGCAGCCTAACTTGTCGTAAAACAGTATCTTTTTATCTATAATGCTAAATGCATTTGCGAACGCGCGAAAAAAGACTGTGGTCTTCTCTGGAAATACACGGTGTACGCATTGATTTACGTCATAGAACTCAACTAGGTGGTGACAATTTCAACGTTCGTGTCTCGAGTGTGGTTGGATGGATTTCCTAGCATGGTTTTCAAATTTACCAACTGTTCTATTCCCGATCGTAACAAGTCTGGATTCACCTTGCTTGGTAATGAGTGCATATCATAAGACGCCTATCTTACGACCAAATCTAATGAATAATAAGTTACCATTCGCGTTTTTTTCTAATGGTATGTTTCTTCCAGAAAGGTTTTTAAATCTAAAAGGATATACAATTCATTTATGTTATGCACGCAGCACCAGTAATAACAGCTTACACTGTCTAACTCAAATGTAACGGGGCATTCGTCTGTGTACTGTGTAACCTGTCTTTATTCGGATCTATGTATCCGGGATCGATTAATCCATATCCTTCTACATCTATCCATAAAAATTTGTAGTCTGCATCCACCAAGGCAAGGAGCACTAATGAAAAAATCATTTATAGTCATGAAACAAGGATCTGCTTTAAGGCGGGATTCTAATAGCAAAATACTTTCCATCTAGTGTGCTACAAGCGTGTGGCACGTTCCATCTTCTCTCAAAAACTTCGGCAATAGCTCGCCATTCATTTGGTTCTGTAAGACAGGATATGACTTCATCTTTATATTCCTATACAATTGCCTGGCAAACCTCAGGAATAAAAGTACAAATAGTATTGCGCGCGACTCTGAAATCGTACTGAAAGGTTGAATACAAGAAGCTAAGTGCCTTACGGCAATAGCAACTTTCAGACCGGAATCTAGTGCCTTTCTGAATCGGGTGTCTATCTTCTGAATTCGAGGACTAAGTCTTACTCTATTCAAAAGTTCATAAACGTTTCTGGAGGCATCCTTGAAAAAATAAAGAATGACTGTTGATCCTCCACCATTAATCCTTTCATTAGTCGGTCGTATTTCCCAAACTGGGGTCTTCTTTCAACAGAAAGACAAGGGCGCACCTAATATAACCTACGCTGTTAAGTTGGTCTTCTACTACTTATAACTAAAAGTAAAGCCTGATCAGCCAATTCGATACAGTGCAGCTGAATCAAAAATTGCAGAAGTTGGTTTTGATCATGTGTGTGCATGGTTGAACTACAGGTAGAAGTATTTGCATCCGTATTTTTGTCAACAGAATGAGGTCGTGCAATCATCGTGGCTAGGACGTAGTAGTATTGTAGTAAAGTCGTTCTAAGAACGATAAGCGCGTAGTAGCAGCGTACTATTGTCTTCCTCGTCGTAGTATAATCGTACCAATATCGTAGTAGAACCGTAATAAAGACGTTATGAAATCGGGATAGTCGCAGCGAAATCTATTCCATTGGCTTCCCGATCTTACTACGTCCTTACTACGAACTCCCTACGCTTCTACTACGACTAGATTTGACCACGACTGCACTACAAATGTTTTGAGCATGATCAAAGTTGGTCATCGACCTCCACGAACTCAAAGACCTTGGCACGTCCTTACTACGACCTTGCCACGACCTTACTACGACTTCCAAAATTTTTCATATTTCTGAGGTCGTAGCGGGATCGTGGTCCTAATGTGATGGGATTATTAATAAAAGATCGACAAGGATCTTCTTATAGATCTAAATACTGCTCATAAAAAATATTGAGCATCAGATTCGGCAATCCTGACTTATAATACGACATGAATATTTTGACGAACGGACAGACATACAGTAACTGCGTAAGGACACCACAGATTAGTCGGCATGGTCTTATAAAAAAAAAACCAAATGGTGGCATTGAACCATTATAGCCTAACAAATCTATTCCCCAACAAAAGTTAACTGGAAAAAGTCATCAAAGTCCAGTCTGTGTTTGTACAAAGTACATAATAAATGTTCATTTAATTATAAAATGATTGGAATGCTTTCAATGATTTGTGCAATGACAAATAATCGACACCAGATCTTTCACGATCCTTTTCACGATCACCAAAAAGTGTTACCCAATCTTTCACGATCCTAAACATCAAATTTATATATATATTCCAATTTTGCCCCCTGTCTGAATAAGCTGCTAAATCTAATTTTGAGAGCCATTTGAAACATTAGAATAAAACGACATTGTTCAAGGAATAGTTATTTAGTCATTCATAAAATGAAAAAAATCATGTTTGTTTTCATTTTTTATGTCATTGAAATGTTGAAGAGCAATCTCCCTTCTGTAGTTTTGTAAAAACGATGGTCATTCAAACTCTGATTTTCTCAGATACTGATTATAATTTTAAACCATTTTGACAGACAGCTTTATTTTTTTCAAAATGTGTAGTTATATTTAGATTAATTAGATTATCTATTGACCTTGCATATGTTTTCTCGATAATATTTCCTTCGATCACGATCACATACCGGAGCTTTCACGATCCTATCGCAATACTTGACCACCGTTACTTATTTTTTCACGATCATTCGATATACCGAATGACAGCCGTGTTTAATGTGGCGTTCACACAGTGCCGATTATGGCTTCCGTTTGAGATCGGACAGCGCTAAGACTCGAAAAGTGAAACAGTCGGATTACTATCCTCAATGATCTGGAATGTCCTATCATTGTCTGAACGCTGTAGTATACGTTCGTAACAGATTCATACGGACCGGACAGGTCGGCCAAGCACCCCCGACAGTTAGGTGCGTCCCGTAACATTCGGGAAAACTCAGCCGATTTTGTCTAGTCGGATTACAATCGTGACTATGTCGTAACAGATTCTGCTGTATCGGATCAAAATCGTAAAATGATCTGTGTTTTCTTCTGGACGGTGTCCTGTGGAACGGGCATTATATAGAGAAATTTGTCATTGCTGTTTTTTTGCCGATTGAGTCTAGATTGTATCCCGATTGCGAACCGTCTTTACCGAAACCATTCCGGAACAGTCCTGTTATTAATACGAAATTCGGGAAAACTATCCACGTCATAGTCCCGACAATTACAGAAAACGATACGGCTGAGTCCAGACAAAGCCGTTTACAATGCGGCACAGCGGACTGTGATAGGATTGCGTTCCGACAGTACCTGATCATCCCGAATATGGCGACAGTTTTCTAACGGATATCTTCCGTCAGCGTCGGTTCACTGTCAGGTCACTGTCTGATGTCTGTCGGGTCGCATACGGCAGAATCGAGACGTTGTCAGGACAGATTCGGTCGTTTTTTACCATGGGAAAAATACATTCGGATTAGAATCAGATTGAGAACGGAATAATCGGGACAAATTCGGATGGAAACGGCAGAATTTGGACGCTTCCTGAACAATATCTGATTGTTGTCGTGATTAAATAAAGTTTTTTTTACAAATTTTAATAAAAGTTTGAATTTCCAGCCACGATTCACAGGATCTTGATCAGACTTTTGACAAATTTTAATCGAGAATGCTCCTATCAAGGTCGGCAGTAAAAATCGTGAATGTATGACCCCAGCTTTATAGGTGACAATTTAGTCGGGAATTAAGTGACAAATAAAGATAAATAATGTCTTTCAAATTTCATCACCAGAAAATAATTTCGTATGCAAGATAAACATATTCGATTAATGGCATGAATATTTAACTCTTGTGAAAAGCATTGCACAACCTCAATGGCAAATAATAACCAATTTCATAGTAATTTGATAAATAAATATAAAAATATGAAGATGTGGTTTGCTTGCCAATGAGATAACTATCCACCACAGACCAAATGACGTAGGTGTAAGCAAATGTCTTTCAACAATGAGCAATGCTCATACAATGTAGTAAGCTACACAAACAAACAAAAAAAAACAAAAACAAAACAAAAACAAACAAACAAACAAACCTTACAAATTTAATAAATTAAAGACACAAAGGTTTTTAAAACAGTCATTTTCTGAATCACTGCTTTATCAATAGGCTATACTTAATAAAGGATGAAAACAAACTATATTTCTCAAAATCTACTTTAGATATAGAGGTCGTTTAAAACAGATTATTTGACTTGTTTAGGAAATTGAAAACATATCTAGCTTTTAGCATATTTATTTCATTGATCCTTATTTTAAAATAAAAAGGTATATGACATCTACAAACCTGAGGCATATTTTTTCAAACTTGCAACAAAATAAAAAAAATACAATTAACCTATTAACATAAAGACAAATAGCTTCAGAACCTAACAGAAGAGAAGCATTTTAGATAAATCTGCCAAAACTTACTTCCAGAACATATGTCTCCAGTATATCCTGCAGGACAGTCACACACATTAGGCCTGATACACGTCCCACCGTTTCGACAGCTTGGGGAACAAATAGCTGTAAAAATAAACAACAGATTGACTTCACATGAATGACACAAAAGTATTCAACCAGTTCCGTTTCACTCTTAAAATTGCAAGTGGTACAAATAACAAATAAAGAGAGAAGCTGTATTTTACCTAAGTGAACTATGCCAGATTGGAATCACTCCTCTTTTCAATTATAGAATATATGGAATTTTCTGTTCGCCTATTACCTTAGAAACAGATAATTTTGTTTCTTTCATTTGAAAACAAGTCTTTAATATGGTGATTGAATGCGGCCATTTCACATTTTGGCATTTGATATTTCATGAAATGAAAACGCTTAAGCAAAAACGCTAAGTCTAAAAGGCAAAGCGTATAGTTTTCACGTTTCTATACCTTTTTGCGTTGTTCCATGTTCTATTTTCTTTCACGTTTTTGCCTTTTTTCTTGTTTTTGATTTTGCAATTTTCGTTTGCGCCAATCTATATTTGATTCGTCTCGAAATCTTTGTTCATTTGCGTCTGTTTTTTTTATTTGTACAAATATACACTTTTTTTCATATCCGCAAATTATAGTATAGGTAAACCCATGTGAGAAGAAAGTTTCGTATAACTTTTCAATATGATCTATACAGGTAATACCCTATCAGTCAAACCATATGCCTCCTGTCACCTCTTGGTCACCACTTAAAGATGGAATGGGATATTTAGCGGGTAAAACGGGTTTTCTATAACATGTAAAACTATATATGTCATTTTGTGAAATAGCTCTTTAACTTGTTCTTTACAGTAAAGCTGACAGAGTGACAGTCCTGATGCACTGTATAATATCAGCTTTTACGTAAAATTAATCCGATTCTTTTCAAGAAAAAAGTTCCAATTTTATATCCGATGTCCATCTAAGATTACTGATTAATTGCCCCGGTTTGTCTCGATAGGAAAGAATATTTTTAATGCATGCATAAGGAGCATTTCTAGTAGTTCAATACATGTACATGTAACCTTTCATGTTGGACTTTTGTTTCCATGCATTCGACCATACAACCAAACCTTTACTATTATATGCTTCAGAAATTCGAGATTCATCAGATCATTTGCTCTTCATATTCTGTAAACTTAAATTGATATTTGTTATACATGTTATAGCTTAACATGTGAACAATTATATGTCAAGTTTTGAAAATTATATAAGGTGTTCATATAACTTTGCATCACTATCAGAGCTAGAAATAACGGTTTCAATTACTTTATAACATTGCAAAATCTGTTAAAATATTGTTAACGTCTACAGAGTTTGTCAGAATTTCACTATTTATCGGATGCTGTTACAATCGCAAAATATTTACATAATCAAGGCAATATAACTTAGTACTCCTTAGTTATGCAATGGTTTAAGATCTTTAAATATCATAGAAGACTTTCTGTCCCCTAATGAAAGCAAATTTAGCTTCATTTTAGACCAAGCTTTACACACAAAAACCTTAAGCGATTACAAATAATAGTGACACACTCAAGGCTGTAGAATTAGATACTTTCTTATCTTAAGCATTTTGCAGGTTAAGACTATCTTTACATAGATTATTTATAGAAACTGGAAGATATAAAAATACATGTAGAGAAACAAACCTTTTTGTTGTAAATGTGAAACTAGAGGCTCTCAAGAGCCTGTGTCGCTCACCTGATTCTACTTTGGTTTTGGAAATCATGTAAAAATAGATTAAAATCATAACAGATACCCTAATAATGAGTGAGGCCAAATTTGGTTTAATATTGGTCTTGTAATTTAATAAAAAAAATCCTGGTGGCCATCTTGAACAGTAAATCGGCAACAAAGTAGCAACACTTCATTAGCACCTCATAAGAAACATTTATGCCATGTTTGGTTTCATTCCATTCAGTGCACCTCTAGAAGAAGCATTTGTATGTATTTCCCATAGGGTCTTATGTTAAAGGAAGTCCCCCGACTGGCGGCCATCGTGGATGAAGGATCAGCTTCAAAGTAACAACAGTTAGTCAGCACCTCATAAGGAACATTCATGCCATGTTTGGTTTCAATCCATTCAGTATGTGGTTCTCTAAAAGAAGACATTTGCATGTATTGTCCATAGGGTCCTTTGTTTAACATTGTCCCCAGCTGGCGGCCATCTTGGATGATGGATCGGCTTCAAAGTAAAAACACTTGGTCATCACTTCATAAAGAACATTCATGTCATGTTTGGTTTTATTCCATTCAGTGGTTCTCTAAAAGAAGACATTTGTATGTATTTCCCTTAGGGTCTTATGTTAAAATAAGTCCCCCGCTGGCGGCCATCTTGGATTATGGATCGGCTTCAAAGTAACAACACTTGGTCAGCACCTCAAAAGGAACATTCATGCCATGTTAGGTTTTATTCCATTCAGTGGTTCTCTAAAAGAAGACATTTGTATGTATTTCCCATAGGGTCCTATGTTAAACTAAGTCACCCGCTGGCGACCATCTTGGATTATGGATCGGCTTCAAAGTAACAACACTTGGTCAGCATCTCATAAGGAACATTCATGCCATGCTTGGTTTCATTCCATTCAGTATGTGGTTCTCTAAAAGAAGACATTTGTAAATATTTCCCATAGGGTCCTATGTTAAACTAAGTCCTCCGCTGGCGGCCATCTCGGATTATGGATCGGCTTCAAAGTAACAACACTTGGTCGGCACCTCATAAGGAACATTCATACCATGTTTGGTTTCATTCCATTCAGTGGTTCTCTAAATGAAGACATTTGTTAATATTTCCAATATGGTCCTATGTTAAACTAAGTCCCTCGCTGGCGGCCATCTTGGATTATGGATCGACTTCAAAGTAACAAACAACACTTGGTCAGCACCTCATAAGGAACATTCATGCCATGTTTGGTTTCATTCCATTCAGTATTTGGTTCTCTAAAAGAAGACATTTGTATGTATTGTCCATAGGGTCCTTTGTTAAACATTGTCCCCAGCTGGCGGCCATCTTGGATGATGGATCGGCTTCAAAGTAAAAACACTTGGTCATCACTTCATAAGGAACATTCATGCCATGTTTGGTTTCATTCCATTATGTGGTTCTCTAAAAGAAGACATTTGTAAATATTTCCCATAGGGTCCTATGTTAAACTAAGTCCCCCGCTGGCAGCCATCTTGGATTATGGATCGGCTTCAAAGTAACAACACTTGGTCAGCACCTCACAGGGAACATTCATGCCATGTTTGGTTACATTCCATTCAGTGGTTCTCTAAAAGAAGACATTTGTATGTATTTCCCATAAGGTCCTTTGTTAAACTAAGTCCCCCGCTGGCGGCCATCTTGGATGATTGATCGGCTACAAAGTAACAACACTTGGTCATCACTTCATAAGGAACATGCATGCCATGTTTGGTTTCATTCCATTCAGTGGTTCTCTAGAAGAAGTTCAAAATGTAAAAAGTTAACGACGACGACGACGGACGACGACGGACGACGGACGCAAAGTGATGAGAAAAGCTCACTTGGCCCTTCGGGCCAGGTGAGCTAAAAAATGAACTAAAATTTAATTTGATAAGGGATCATTTTCAACCAGGAACTCAAACTATTAATTCCCGTATGTACGCACGTAAGAACACACTGTGTCAGAAAAATTGTCTGATTCGATATGACGGGCTTGTGTACTCCCTTTCAAAAGAAGGAGCTTATTGTATATATTGTGCTCTATTTCGGGTTAAATGACAAACTTTGTAAAAAGAGCCACGATGAAGCAAGAGCCAAAGCACAGATTTTCCTTGACATTTTTGAGAAAAAGACGGTCGATATACCAACTTTTATTGATGCACTAATGCATGTGCATTATAATGTACATTAAGAACTTGATGTGATCGTTTACACGTTTGCAAGCACGCATCTAAGAAAATGAAATTGGAATCAATTTTATAAGTCCTGTTTAACCATTTGCTCTAATTAATATTATTTTTATGACATTAATATCAATAAAACAAATAGCAATTTGCATAAGAGTTCGTAAGGTGACCCTCCCCTCCCCCAGACAAATTTTTTGATCCACCCTTGTTTACAAGGCATATTTGTGATAATTCGAGTAAGGCCTACACACTATATGAAGCCCCTCAGCGAACAATTGCTTACAATTACTACAGTATGTATATTTCTCAAGAAATATGAAGATGTATTTTTTTTTCAAAAATCCTGAGTGAGAATGAGTTTTGTACATTGTAGTGCATTAGTTTCTATTCGCTCTTTAGCTCTAAACATTTATCTTTTGTAGGGGAGGGAGGCGGCCTTTTGTCTTCCGTCCAGACAAACATTTTTTATGCGCCGTCTGAATAATACGAAGCATCGTGTTCTCTTGGCTGTACGTCCGTCCGTTGGTACGTACGCTATTCCGTCCGTTCCTTATCAGGTTCAAGTTGTTGGTTAAAATGGTTTACCTCGAAGTTTTATTAAAAACCGGAAGCTTAATTCACATGCGAATTAAGATGTGGAATGAACTTTTTTCAATTGCAAACAAAATTAGGATTTCGACCTCGATTTAAGGACTTATGCACATAGAAATGTAAAAGTGTGGAATTCAAAAAATTCTCGGGTTGAAACTTTTGGTTTAGACAGTTTGCAACTGAGACCAGGTCACATTAAATTGAGATTTAGTACATTAGTGTTCATTATACATTCATTGTTTATTGAACATGAATATGATTTTGTAAGCCGGGCATGGTGTATATAGAAAACATTTTTATTTCAGCTGTAAAAAATTAATGTCTTAATCCTGAGTATGGATATGTATCTTTTAAGTTCTATACTCTTTCGCAAGAGAGTTATTCGGTTTTATTACTGGCTAATAAACGAGCATAGTTCCGACCTTTTCTCGTCCCACCTGAACAGTTCGACACCTATATTTTCATTATTCATAGCCATTATTATTACTTTATTGTGTATAGAAGTAGAATATCTCACATTTCGACAGTATAGAGAGACATTATTGTATTATGGGTAATAGCAAATATGATTATAAGTTTTATTTCATGAGATATTAGACATGTGACACATGTTATATGTGACTTTTATCCAGTGGTTATCATTTTTATTTCTACTTTTTTTAGAATGGGGTGTTGTTTGGTTGTTCCTTGCTGACGAAATCGTCTGTGGTTGAGTTATTCAGTTGTCATGCATGTCAGTCATATCATAATTTTGCTATACTTCTATATTTTTGTCTATATTAAGTGGACAGTTTTTCATCCTATATTCATAATTTTGTGATAGCTTTGTTTTCATCAAAATCGAAAGAAGAAGTTAAAAACTTCTAACATCAAAACAGTAAACACGTATCTGTATCAGTTTCTTTGATTTGGGAATTATTAAAAAAATGTTGAATGTTTTTAATATACATATAAAAATGCAATAGTTTAAATTGAGAAATCATCTTATATACATGCACATATACCAATAATGCAAACTACATTACCTTTTATACCAAAATCAAACATGTGCTATATATTATTGTATCTGTAGAATTCCTTATTCGAAACAATATAACCTTTTCTTTGTTTTTTTAAACATTTGAACAGATTAAGGTTTCTGATGTTTGATCAGATTAATAATCGTTTTATATTGTAGCATATTTCATGATAGAGATATATTTACGGATATTGCAGTTTTGGTCTCCATCATGCTTCCATCCTGGACAACAGTAGTTCTCTGGGTAGTAGTATGGACGTCTTACGCCTTTCCAGTGAGTGCACCTGTTTATAAATTGTATGAGATTCAATTTGCTTGCTTATCCTTGTATTTTTTATAGTATGAGTCACATCTTTATTATAAACTTATTAACCGATTATTAATAAGTGAAACAAGTGGTCTATCATGTCTATGAAACCAAACATGGAGGTCAATTTTCTCTTGACTGTTCATTTTTGATATTTTTGGTTTGCTTGGTATTCTAATTCTTAATAAACATGAAGTTCTTTACTCATGCATATATCTTAGAAAGAATGTTTATCGAAATATATTCTCATGTTTTATCAATCTATCGATATTTCTGTATCGATATAATTTTGTCTACCTGATCGTTTTCATTTGATTGTTGCGTTGTCTGGATACGAAGTGACTGATATTTATAATACCACAGTTTAGTAATCGACATTCTATTGTCTGGTTTTAACATTTCCGGAGATCTTTTCTAGCCTTTGTCTCACTCCATTTGAAAATATTTTTTTTTTTATCATAAAAACATATAGACTTGTTTTGTCTGTGTCCACACTTGTTTTGTCTGAAATTTTTATAATGACTTGTGGAGTGGCGGATTCTAAAGAGTGCCTGCAGGTGCAGATGCCATTCAAAAATCTACAATTCTGCTGTGTTGTTTTGTGGGCGATTGTGAACACTGTTGTACATTGAAATAGTAAAACAGATACTTATGGAAGTCACAAAACATAAACAACGAAGGACAACTCTTAGACGAAACACTTGAAAATTACCATGACTGATGTGGTTCTGCAAATATGTTGTATATTCGATTTTGTCTCGCCTAGAACTCCCAAGACCTCACTGATATTTAAAGGATTTGAATAAGAATGAAATTTGATCGTACCTTTGAAATATGAATTACATGCAAAAAAAAAAGTGTCAATACTTCAGAATATCAGTGAAAATGTTTGATAATGATACTAAAAATGCAATAAATGAATTTATAGTCTGTTTGGCTTTGCGAGCTTCAACCAATTCACACTGTTTGAAATGTAGTAATTTGCAATGAAACTCTTTAGAAGGCTTTGCGTTGTATTCATGGACGGTTCATTATAAATCATTGTCATCTAGAGGTACCTTCTAAATTTCTTAACCCAAACACATCTGCTTAGTCTTTAAAGTTGCACATGCTATTTATGGATTTTTTTTTATTACAAGTAAATTTGTCATATCCCAACGCCATTGACAAGTGCGAAAGGTATATAATTACACTTTCCGTTTATAAAAAGTTTTTAAATGGAATGATATCAATTTCTACATTGAATCGGAACAATTAACGGTGACATTAATGCGGCGTTCACACAGTGACGATTATGTTTCCCGTTTGAGATCAGACAGCGCTAAGACACGAAAAGTGAAAAAGTCGGATTACTATCCTCAATGATCTGGAATGTCCTATCATTGTCTGAACGCAGTCGTATACGTCCGTAACAGATGCCTATGGATCGGGAATGGTCCGGAGAGGTCGGCCAAGCACCCCGACAGTTAGGTGCGTCCCGTAACATTCGGGAAAACTCAGCCGATTTTGTCTAGTCGGATTACGATCGTGGCTATGTCGTGACAGATTCTGCTGTATCGGATCAAAATCGTAACAAAGTTCTGTGTTTTCTGGACGGTGTCCTGTGGAACGGGCGTGATCTGGAGAAATTTGTCATTGCTGTTTTTTTGCCAATTAGGTCCAGATTGCATCCAGATCTTGGCGAATGCGAACCGTCTTTGTTCCGGAACAGTTCCGTTATTAATACGAAATTCGGCAATAATACCCACGTCGGAGTCCCGACAATTACAGAAAACGATACGACGGAGTCAAGACAAAACCGTTTGCAATGCGGTACAGCAGACTGTAATAGGATTAGGTTCCGGTAGTACCTAATCATCCCGAATATCGCGATTATTTTAAAAGACGGGACTATCACATGAAACAGTGTTCTAACGGATATCTTCCGTCAACGTCGGTTTACTGTCTGGTCACTGTCTGATCTCTGTCGGATCGCATTCAGCAGAATCGGGACGCTGTCGGGACATATTCGGTCGTTTTTTACCAAATGAAAGATACAAATCGAATTAGAATCGGATTGAGAACGGGATAATCGGAACAAATTTGGCTGGAAACAGATGCATTTGGACGCTTCCTCAACAATATCTGATTTTTGTCGTGATTAGATAAATGTTTTTACAAATTTTAATTAAAGTATGAATTTCCAGCCACGATTCACCGGATCTTGATCAGACTTTTGACAAATTTTGATCGCAAATGGTCCTATCAAGGACGGCGGTAAAAATCGTAAATGTGTGACCTCTGCTTAACGGGTGCGTTAAATATCAGGGAATTTGTGAATACGAATTAAAATTAATGGAAACTTAATGTATACGGGTTCGTTAGTTAACGGATGCTTTGTGAATAAGCTTTCTGTTGATTTTGTTTTATAATTTTCCTGTTATCATTTATATTTTTGTGTAACTGTTGGAAAGAACAAGGGCTCAATATCGACACATTTCGTGATAACATATGTCCGAAATATAAACTAGCGATAGACTTTAAGTTGAACGTGTGATTCGAGAGTAAACGAAGATTTTCAACCGGCTTCATCTTGTAATTGTTCTACAAATACTTCAAAATGTAAGATTCTACAATTGAGAACTTTGAACCTCTATATGTTAATCTAAAATCATTGTTTAGTTTTTTCTTCTACATTCAACATGTCATAAGAGAAATCAAGCATCGCATTGATTTGAGAGAAAAACCAATACTGTGAACACGCATATCAATTATTATAGAGAATAGGATGCAAAAACACGAGTGAGTACATTCCCAACCGGATTGAACGAATAAATCGGATTTCTGAATGATATACTGGTACACATATGTACAAAAAATATATCATTTAACATGATTTTGTATGTTTTTTAAGGAATTTTTGGTTTTAAATTCCCAAGCTTGTCTTCCTTCAGATGTAAATACACCATTAAGAATTTATCAGTGAATCTTGATTATCGTATATTGAATCAGAACGGAGAAATGATCAATACGTTTATCAAACATAAAACTTCATTTTGACGTTTTAATACATTATATGTATCACTCATGGACACGAACATTGCGCATATCTGCTATGTTTGAGGTGTCGAGTTTTGTCCCATAATACTTTTGGACGTTGTTTAGTTATGACCTAAAGACCAATGAAAACGCTTCCTAATACACTTACCAACCCCACACCCGACATCTACAATATCTATGATATTGGAAGGCCCTCACAACTCGTGTACAAAGATTTCTGTAAAATAAAAGAAAGTATCAGTAAGTAGCAATTTCATCAAGGAGAACACGATATAAATTTTTCTACTATTGCAGTTAATACCGACATCTTTTTATTTTTGGCCATGGCGTTGTCAGTTTGTTTTCGATCTATGAGTTTGACTGTCCCTCTGGTATCTTTCGTCCCTCTTTTGACACTTTAGACCACCCTAATGATTAAAGTTGGAAGGGATATAAATAAAGGCAACAGTAGTATACCGCTGTTCAAAAGTCATAAATTGATTAAGAGAAAACAAATCCGGGTTACAAACTAAAAACACATCAACTATAAGAGGAAAACAACGGAACAAAAGAAACACTGAACTGCAACAAAAACAAACGCCAACATGCATAGAAACGGACTATTTGATAACAACTGTCATATTCCTGACTTGGTACAGGACATTTTAAGAAAAAATGGTGGGTTGAACCTGGTTTTATGGCTAGCCAAACCTCCCGCTTATATTACAATGTTAAAAAATACCGCTAAAATGACAACACTACGTGACAGGAGTACAGTACAAACAAACGCAAGAACACTCAGCACAGAGAAATACACAAATAAGTAATATAATAGTACATTACAACATGTAAACCGCAGAATAATAACGGACATCTCCCATGAATTAACGACAGCACAGGACACCACAAACTACACGTCACATGAATGGATCAACGCCACAAAAAGTGACGTATTTTTGTGACATATATATTATCAAAGGTAAATCTTGAAATTCATACAATTATATGGAACGAGATCCAAAAATTCACAATTATTTTCACAATGCTAGTCCAAATAATCATCATGATTATGACGGTCTTGAAAGGCTATTTTGAATTAATGCTGTGACGAAGTCATAATTATTTGGACTAACACAATGCTTTATCCATGGAAAATGGAAATCAACTCGACTATACTGACAAATAAGACAAATGTGAAATGTACCGAAAATCAAGAATTCAAACCACAAACAATAAGACATAAAACAATATCCAACCGTACTTACAAAAGAAACATCATATCTAAATACATGAATGTTGGATGTATAAATACCGAGACACGTCGTATAGCAATGCGAATTCACACTCGGCAAAACAGTCATATTCGGGAATAGGTCACGTTCGGTACTTAGCAGACAGACGACGTAGAGTGTAAACCACAAGGTAAGACGTGGTAAAAATGTCGTTAGGTAGTTTAGACACAGACACATCGTATAGATCAACCAATTCGTGATGGTGTCCATAAAATTTACGGAGTATTTTTAATCTTTCTTCCTCATAACTCTGTTGGAGCAGTTTTTGCATAAGGAGCACACTCCTGTATATGAAGTCCGTATACTGTGAACATGCACGAACTATAACGTATCAATTGAGATATGTAAACACCATACGACGGAGCAGAGGGCATGTTACTGCTGATAAATGGGAAATTGATAATTGGGAAGTTGAAATCATCCCGTTTGTCATAGATTTAGTGTGAGGTCGTCCATCTGTGTCAATATTGAGGAAAAGATCAAGGTATGAAGCAGTCTATCTAGTATCGGTAGTATCCTTAATTTCAAGTTCACTGGGATATATGAGATGCAAGTACTGACTGAAATATAGGTTATTCAGTGATAGGACATCATCAATATATCTGAAAGAAAAATTAAAGAATTTCGCAAGGTGCTTTTTCTTTTTGTCTTTTAGAAGGTTATGAATTTATAACACTGCATTCTATTGTATTAAGTATACTATTTCTTCACTTTTCAGTCATGAGTAAAAGATTTTGTTAATTATGACATCAATAAAAGTACATGAACATAACCTTATATAGAGTGTTTTTTTTTTTTTTTTTTTTTGTTTCATTTATATGTTTTGGAGTTTAGTATGACGTCCATTTTCTCTGAACTAGTATACATTTTTGTTTAGGGGCCAGCTATAGCCAGCCTCCGGGTGCGAGATTTTCTCGCTGTGTTGAAGACCCATTGGTAGCCTTGAACTGTTTTCTGCTCTTTGGTCGGGTTGTTGACACATTCCACGTTTCCATTCTCAATTTTATGTACTAAATTTTAACGTTTTTTTAAAGAAGTAATCTATGTTTTTGATAGTTTGAAAAGACCTTTTGATTTTGTTCTGATTAGAATGTCTTTCCACCTTTCCGTGGAACGATCTACATCATTTGTTCTTGTTTCCGTGGAAATACCAATAACTTTGTTCTGATTATTATTAGGTCTTTCCGTTTTTCCTTGTTAGAGTTATCTCCCCGAACACTGTTTTACTTTTTATCTCTGCTACTTCGCAACCGTTCAAGAAAGCGAAACATTCATTTTTCCTTATTGCTCGTTATATCCTCAGGATTTTTTGTAAATTTTTTACCGGATCGATACAGATATTCAATATGAGAGTTATTCCCCCTTTTGTATATAAGTAAAAAGTATTTGTAAAAGAGAGGCGAAAAATACCAGAGGGACATTCAAACTCATAAGTCGAAAAAAACCTCTCAACGATATGACTAAAAAAGAAAAAGACAAACAGACAAACAGACAAACAATAGTACACAAAACACAACATAGAAAACTAAAGACAGAGCAACACGAACCCCACCAAAAACTGGGGGTGATCGCAGGTGCTCCGCAAATGTAACTGGCAAATCATCAGTTATTGAGACTTAGGGTCTTTTGATTTGAGATCCTTGGTCAACCAAAAAGAAAATGAGGCCACGGTAAAAAGTCAAGGTCATGTTTTAACTTTTGATTTTGGCTTATTATCGCTTCTCCTAAGATACCGTATTAGATAATGACAAAATATTTTCACTAAACTGTAGGTTGTGACATGTCGTAACATATCATCACAAACCAGTAAAAGTCTGAAATGGCCTATATCTATGCTCGACTGTACTGATATTTACTCTACCAGTCTGAATTGGTCTGAATTTTACTTGATATTACTCGACTGTAGTTTGAATCATACTTACCGTTCAGAAACAACCAGGACAATCACACAAGCAATTTGAAAAATCCCGTGAAGTTCGCGAACTATTTTGGATAAAAAGACTTCAAACAGTTTATCCTCTCGGTCTCAATGACAAAGTATTGGGACAGGGGAACATATCTAAAACTTCGATCGATGTCATTAATATTGTCGATAAACGACTAAGAAAAAATAGGTTTCATGGTAAACGCAAAAACCGTAATCAACGTATTAAACATCGTATAAATTATACACTTGCTGATCTGTTATCTATAATAAAACATAATGGTAGACATCAAGTATTATGCAAACTGGGTCATATACCAATGAGTAAATTATATGCTGTTTTTCAGGGGTGTGATAATTTTTTTAGCCCGTTGTATGACTACACCCGTATTATCACAGCCTTTTGTCATCACAGGCTGTTTCCTAGTATCGATAAACCTGAAAATCATAAACGGCATTTTCTTAAAATAAAATATATAAATAGAGGTATTGATTTTATATTTTGACTTATCTAGTATATTCAATGACTCTACCATCCATAGCCAAATACCTCCATATTTTGATAATACAGAACCACCTATTATTTCGTATTCTTATTAAAAACCCAGCAGAAGTTTGATTTTTAACTAAACGTCAGTTACCATGGTTACATCAGACGTCAATATAGAAAATAATGCTCCTTCCACTTGAGACTGTGAAACATCTAGTTTTAGATATGTTCCCTATGGTCATGTCATTACAGGAGACCTCAATATTGTCGAAGACCGTGAGGTCAAAACTTTTCTTAAGAAAGGACCTAAATATCGTCCTCCATCTATAATAGATTAGAAACAGTGTCGTCAGGTCATTAAAGACGCTTTGTCTGCCTACTGCAAAATTTGGTGTAAACGTAAAAAATCTGATAAAAAACCTCTAGACAGTTATTTGAATAAAATTATGAATACTGTTGATATTCGTATATCTCATTTTGAAAACAATTCTGAAATTAATAATAGGGTCCATGATATACCCATTTCTAGAATAAAAAATAAACTCCAAGTACTCGCAAAGCGGTTTGTGTTCGTACCGGCAGACAAAGCAGCCAATAATGTAGTGGTTGTGTGATGCATATACTACACGGAAATTCTCCAAAACGAAATTATCAATTCGTCTACATTCAGGTCCGTACGCTCCACAGAGAGTCAAATTGTAAACAAGCATATCACTGCCACTACCCATCTTGAAGCCTCTTCCGAACATTTGAAAGTCCCGACTATGTACTGGTTACCTAAATTACACAAACAACCATTTAAATTCTGTTTCATCTCCGCATCTAGTAAGTTTTCTACTACTAATATATCAGTGCTTCTAACTACCTCCCTCACTACTATCAAAGAACTTGTTATTAACTTTTTGTAATAAAGCTTATGAAAATAATGGTAATAATTATTTTTGGAGTGTTGAAAATTTCTTAGAGGTTTTAGATAAAATATGTGCTTTTGATAGTCCTTTTAATTCTGTTGACAGTTATGATTTTTCTACTCTCTACACTACACTTCCACACAATCTTATTAAGAAAAAGTTTTCATATTTAATTAAATGGTCTTTTGAAAAATTTCATTGCAAATTTATTTGCTATAACACGTTTAAAGCCTTTTTCTGTAACGAAAAAGGAAGGTATGCTATATACACTTACTGGAAATATGAAGATATGATTGAAGCTTTAAATTTTCTCCTGGACAACATATATGTACGTTTCGGCGATAAAGTGTATCGACAGGTAGTAGGTATTCATATGGGCACTTACTGCGCCCCTTTAATAGTTGATTTATTCCTGTATTGCTATGAATCTAAGTTTATGACCAAACTCAGTAAAGACACGTCATTGTTACATTTGGTTGATACATTCAACAATACCTACCGTTATCTTGATGATATTTTTTCGTTAAATAATCCAGAGTTCTCTAAATATACTACCGAAATTTACCCAAAGGAACTTACTTTAAATAAACCTAAAATAATCAGCAGTAGTTGTCCTTTTCT